GCCCTGTTGGATTTCAGAGAGAGCTTGGATTGTTCCTGAGACTGGTGTGCGGTTTAACTGTGGCCTTACATGGAATGAAAGTGTGAAGACATTCTTGGATTGGATTGTATCTGTGCAAATCTGTTGATGTAACAATATAGAGATAGAGTTAGCATGGCATTGATTATCTATATCTCTATATATCCTTTCTCACCCCTATGTGAATGGGTGGTATATGCAGTGGTGGGATTCAGATATGTGAACAACTGGTTCTTTGTGTGGATGCTGCTTCCAGAAGTCCATTCTGGGCCTGGGCAACACAAAATTAGCTACTGGTTCTGCCAAAGTGGTGCAAACCGGCTGAATCCCACCACTGGGTATATGTCTTCATTAAACTTGGGTTCCCTACTAGAGGCCTGGGAGTTTGAGGGTTCTGAGCAGTATCTTAGCTGTTACTAGCATTGTTCACTTCTGGATAGAGAGCTAATATTATTCCTGGGATCTCTTGGAGCCACTTTCCCAGTTTAAGAGTCACAGCCTAAAGTTACAGTGCTCCTACCTCCACTGGGACTACTTTGAATGTTATTTTCCACGTCCTCTCTAGTTCCTCCTTCAGGCCCTGTGTCAAGACCCTGGTATTCTACAGCTTCTCATACTCTTTCTTCCTGATGTTGCTATTATTTGGCACTGTTATGTCGATCACCCCCACTGTCTATTGTCCACTATCATGATGTCTGGTTGTCCAGTACTTGCCTGTGTGGATTTCCACAACCTTCTATGGAATCTCCCATCTTGACTTGGGAAAATCTAGTCCATACACTGCGCAGATCTTCCTGTACACATTGCCAGCTACTTGGCTGTTCAGTGTATGCTGTTCTTGCCTGAATCTTATTCCCTATTATGTGTTAGACTCCCTCTCAGGCCTCTCTGCATAATCTGCATCTTGGGTCTTGTCTAGTGTGGTGCATCTTGGGTCTTGTCTAGTGTCTGCTTCTGTGGATCTAGTCCTTAGGGCCTGTTCTTATGCTGCTATGATCAGCGCCTCAGTGCTGTCTCTTAGTCAAGCTCTTTCCAGCTGCTCATAGAATTTCCCAGTCTGCTACCTTAGCTTATGAACGGTACATCGCACACAGCACTGATCCCCAACCTTTTTGGCTGCACGGACCAGCAGCGGTGCGTAGTGGTGGGGGGAGGGGATGGGTTCATGTGCTCAACCTAATCCTGTACATGTGCAAATGAAGCTTCATGTGCTCGCCTGCCGCTTGTGCGGCCTGGTGTTCAACAGGCGGTGGCCAGGTAGCAGACTGCAGCCCAGGGATTGGGGACCCCTGCTATAGAGGGTCTTGTCTCACCATGGTGCTTCGTCTGCTTTATCTTCCTCCCAGGTCTATTGCTGCCTCATTTTCTCAACAGCTCATCTTACTTATGTATTCCTGGATACTCTGGGTTTGTCCAGGACAGTGGCTTTGACACTCACCAGACTCTGCCTGCCCTCTTTCTGGCTGGTATACAGACCTTGGGAATTGGTAGCAGTACTGCTGGTACTTCCAGCCCATCAATCTTAACTACCTTCCCTCTCTTGAGTACCATCTGGCCACACTTCTCTAGTCCAATTAACATCCCAGTGTCTTCACTATAGATCCATGTCAAGTGGACCAGCTAGTCAATGTTCACATGTAGCATACAACTTAATGTCATCCATGTAAAAAGCATATAAAAATGAGATTTCTTTTGTTGATTCAAGAGAGACAGTGATAGTAATTCTTTTCTGACATCACAGCATATGCATTTTGTTTTGTTCTTAAGAAAACAAAAACATTTCTTGAGGGAAGAGATATAGAAGCAAGCAGTATGAAAGTAAACAGCCGTTTCTTCCCAGTAGCAAGTATCTAAAGCAATTATGACACACTCTAAGGGGACTAACAGATGAGGTACCAATGTGCTGGCTTTTTAGTCTTGGACTTTAAGCAAGAAAAGCTATGACAGGAAGAGAGTTCCCTGTATTGCTACTAATCTCATTTTGGACTGGCCTGAGTCTCATCAGTGTGCAAGTGGCATAAAACCAAAAATGAATGAGCTTGTACTGGCAGTATAGTTTCCAGACTACAAATTTGCAAAGAAGCTGAAAAAGTTAACAGTACAAGTAGAATCCCTTCAGCTGCGCTGTCTTCATGTCTTATGTTCCTCTAAGCAAATGACTACAGCATTGTATTTAGTTTGTTTAGGTGGGTGGTCTTTTTTTTACTGTGCAAAAAAAAGCCAAGTTTTATTGGAAACTACCGATGGATAACAGCTACATTTTTAGTCTGGTTCAGAACGCAAAGTGTCCATGAGTTAGATAAATATTTAAAAATCCAGCTTTCTCAACCAAGTTTCTGTATTGGGAAGCAGCTGTTCCTATGTGCCTATATAGAAAAACCTTGCTCCTCCCTGGACAGTGCATCTGTCTTTTAAGTAATAGTGTTTCTTGCCTTTTAAAGAACAAATGTGAAATAGCAATGAAGCAAAATGCTGAAATCTGTTTCAAAAATAATCTTGTTTATAATCTGGTTTACGACTACAGTTTTGCATCTGTGCTTAGCGCTATTAGATGTACATGGTGTGGAATAGTTTTTCACTACACAACTTGTAATTCATACTTCATATGCAGAATTAGTGCAAGAAATAGAAAAATTCTAAATCTACTACACTAAGCAAGTTCAACATTGCTCAAAATTAATTTATCCCATTATCAATAGCTAATGAAGCAGGTCCATGTCCAATAGCAGGCGTTTAGCTTATTGATAAGCATAGTTAAGAGAGACTGCAATTCTTATATCCCACTTAAAAAGACTAGCATCTTTCAAGCAAAGGCAGAGATACATTTTAGAGGAAAATGGGAAGCAGTTTCATAAATGCCAAAATACTTCTGTTCAGGGGTACTGTTCATTTTTTTTTAAAGATGAACTTATTTGTATTCAGTGCTCATCTCAGTAGGCTCAATTTCTCAGGGGAAAAAAAGTCCCATGCACAATATTGTGAGGCAGGAAATAGCACTAATTTCTAACATTGATACAAGTATTATGAGAGCCAATTTTTGTTATTAAGGCCCCAGACTAGAAACCATGAGACTATGAGTTCTAGTCCTGCATTAGGCATGAAAGCCAGTTGAGTGATTTTCAGTCAATCACTTCTCATAACCCAACTCTTTGTTATTATGGAGAAAATAGGAAGAAGGATTATTAGGTATGTTTGCTACCTTGAATTATTTATAAAAATAATAAAGGGGGTAAAATACCTATTATCAATCTGGTTTTGACTTTTTCATATGATTTGTCAGTTACAGTGATGTTATCTTTCCCTGCCTAAATATAAAAAAATACGTTGTGTAGCTTATCCATAATTCATCAGCTTGGATATTTAAGTATTCCAGGCCTCTATAGGAAGTTAAGGGATGATTATATGTTTAATAATTTTGATCACTTGAAAAACTGTAATTTTCAAGAACTTACTAAGTACTACAGTGAACGGGATCATAGAGCAGGACACAGAGTTTTCAGGAAGATGTAATAGCATTCTAATTAATATTCATAACATGGCTCAGTACTGAGAAATATAGGCTGCTTTGATTACATAATTATGTATTCTATGTTAAAAATTAGTTTTGGGAATATTCTCTGAAAACTCTTTATTTTGATGTAAAAATAGGAAAGTGCTGGCAACTTGAGACATGCGGATTGAATAAAAATAACTGCCCTAGAACTATTCTGTGACACATATAGGTCATTCCAGAATGATTCCGAAACATTAATATTTGTCGTATAGAAAAGAAGATACAAAAAGGATCAGCAGCTGAACTCTGAATCAATGCCACTGATATTTTGGAAATAATTTTTAGAGTTCTGACTATATACTAATCATCTTATAAACTCTGAGTCAACTCTACAACTGCCCCAAAAGCCTAGGGAGTATTCCTAATCTGCGTTTGTTTCTTTCACAGGAATTGCTTTCTCCTTAGGGGGGGTCCGACTGTCAACTCTATAATGAACCTGGCTGCAGCCATCTTTGTCATTCTAGGTTGCCACAAAAGGGGGAGGGGGAACGAGGTATTTTTGCTAGTCTAAACATGAAGGGATCCCGTGGGAACCCAGGTCATTCCCACATCGTAGTGGATAAGGAGGGACATCCTGCCAAAAAGTCCGCCAAGTAGTTCTATTGGAGAATGTGATTTATGGCTAAATAGGAGGGTGGGAATTATTACATTGAATTACTCTGAATCTTTGGCGGGTATTTTAGATTTGGTTTCACCTTTGACCATGCCGACATCATGTATCCAATAAACTTGTTCTTTGAGGAAATCTCATGCTTCGGAGTTCTGATTTATTTGGTTCCATCAGTCAGAACCTTGACACTCTGTTTATATTTGATTGATAATCTCTTATCATCCACCATGTTCTTGATCATCATAGCTGAAAGATATCCCAAAGACACTAAGGCAGTGGTGGCGAACCTATGGCACGGGTGCCAGAGGTGGCACTCAGAGCCCTCTCTGTGGGCACGCGCGCTGTCGCCCCAGTCCTAGGCCATCAACTGGGTTTTATAAAACCTTTTTGCTTTAGGCCTCCGCCGCCGTGTACAAAAAAAAAGGTTCAATCAGTCAATTTCAACTTCTCGTGGGAAAAAAAAAGATCTTGCAAAGTTGGAATTGATTGAACTTTTTAGTCCCACCCAGTCTGCTGTTACCACCGCAGCCACGCCCACCCAATGGGCCACACCCACCCGGCACCCGACAATCATAAGTGGGTTTTGGGTTGCAGTTTGGGCACTCGGTCTCTAAAAGGTTCGCCATCACTGCACTAAGGGAATACCACTACATGAAAGTGTTTTAATATGAAAAATTTCACACTATGTATTTAAGACAGTTACTTAAACACAAACAGGAAGCACTGAGAGCTGGCAGGCTCGTAGCATCATTAAAACATCTTTTTGTGAACTAATCTGTTTCTCAGTAGGGAACAGAAAACTACATTAACCACAATAGAGCTATACTGTGTAAATATATAATTACTGAGTTCCAAGTTGTGTCATAAATAAGAGCATAATTTCACAACTAAAATTATTTTAATTTTTCCTACTTCTTTTAAAAGTAAACATAGGGATAGAATGGGTAGGAACATTATAAAAGAGAAATGAGGCATTTAGAGCTGAGTCACAGGTAGAAATTTCTGTCAAATGGGGACAGATCTACTTGATATATGAAAATACCAATATGATGTCAGTTTCATATTGCAGCAGAAATTATTTATAGATCAGGATGTTTACTGAAACTGTAAGACAAAATAAGGTTGTAATCAAAATTCAAAATTTCATGATTCAAGGTGTACCTATTATTTATGGTACTTGTATTTCCAAGTTTCCAAACAATCCATTCTCAATTTTTGCACACTCATGCTCCATTCATCACAAACCTGAACAAAGTGCTATTAGGAACACTCACAAGCAGATATGTCAGTTACAATTTTATTTTCCACAAGAGCAATACTCTTTTATTTTTTCATTCTTTTGTCATCACTGAAATTATTGGGCAAGAAAATAATTGAAAAATAAATATGAAGCAATATTAGACAACTGAAATGCATGAAAAATAGGCAGCCATGAAAGTTAGAACTGTATAATGGAAAAAGAAAAGAAAATACTTTTATTGGTGTAGGCAAGTGAAAATTGAAATGAGTAGGAAGCTAAAGTTACATTTGATCACATACATTTATTCTCAAGAATTGTTGTGGAATTGCACTTTAATGGAGATTACTCATCAAGTCCACTGGATGAATAATGTGCGTAGATTCAGTGCTTCTGTAGCTCTTTCATTCTGTTGAGTGCACTACCAGCTTTGAACCACTCAATCTGAGGCTCATTGAAGGTGTGGTTCAGCATTATTGTTTCCTGGCTCCCATTAGGATGTTTGATGATGCATTTCAGGGGCTGGTGGAGAAATTTGAGAAATATATATATATATATATATTTGGACTTCCTATCATAAGCATGCCTTTTGTTAAATCACCATTAACTCTAATGGTTTTTAGACATCTGATTCTTGTGGAAGGGAAAATAACTGAGTAGGAATTAAAAATATCCTCTAAAACATTTAGCACAAGAACCTGGGAACATTTAATTTCTGAATTTAGGAGTCCATATAATATGCCATGATTTATTCCCTTATTTGATCGTTTAGCAAATCTTACCAAATATTGAACCCCAAATATGCAAGAAACCAGGAGCTGTTCTAGACTTGGCAGACCATAAGCAATTCCCCTAGATAGGTCTCCTAAATTCAATATTTTACTTTAACCCGGTAACGTTAAGATGCACCAGCTAAGAAATGCTCTCTCCCCCATTTTAACATTCCTGCAATGCTTCAAATCTCATCAGTACTCTGGAAAGTTCCTGCATCAAGGCTGGAGAAGCTTAGAGAAGCACTACCTGCAAGTGGTTATAGCAGGCATGTCAAACTGCCGGCCCGCGGGCCAAATGCATCACACCAAAACCGCGCCCACCCCATTTCCGGCAATGGGGAAAAAGTCGTGATACGTCATGCGACATCACAAGTTTGACATGCCTGGGTTATAGCTTCTTGAGCACATTAAGCACTGGCAAGTATTCAGTTTCTACTCTCAACACTGGATTTGAAAAAAAAATATTTAAATTCTTCCCAAAATACAATATGTATTCTTTAAATTCATGTGTAACAAAATATTTTGTAGTAGGAAAGAGGAAAAAACATTAGCCACCATATATGATAAAGCAACTTGTACATTTTGTCTATTTCTAAATATATGAGGAGTGTACAAAGCACTTTGATTTCAAACATGAAATTTCATGAAATTTCAAAATGTTCCATTTTGAATATAAAACAGCTTCTGAGGTGTTTGAAGCCCCAAAGTCTCAAAATCTGTTCCACGCCTGAAGTACTTCCAAAATGCATGGAATAGCTTGTCTTGAACTCAAAACACCAGTTTTCTACTCCAAACAATAAAATTTTATATTAGATATGTTTTGTGCACTCTTCTAATTTCCTGTAGATTTGAACATTTCCAAGAATTCAAGTGTACTTACCCATGCAGTTTGTGTCAACGCTGTAACACTGGATGTTCCTGCTCTGACAACTGATGGAAATTGCAGCCATTTTTACTTTGTTTTTAACATGTTTTTTCTTCTGTTTAGAAATTAGGTGTTGAAGGGGGGATGGGGTGAATGCTTGAGCTCAGCTAGCCATAATAACAATGCAGCTCCGTGGGAACTCAAGGGCTGAGGAGCTGGGGAGAGAGCCCACGCTCCTGGCTAATTGGAGAATGTGATTTATGACTGCTTTGTGGGGGTGGGACTTGCAATTTGTTACTTTGTATCTGGGGGAAGGGAATCTAGTTTTGGGTTCAACTATGTAGTGCCGATACTTTGTTTCCTGAATAAAATGTTCTCTAAGGAAGAATTCTTGCCTTGAAGTTCTTTATTGGATTTCATCTATCGGAACCATGACAGTTTGGTTGTAATATTATTATTTATCCTTCTTATTATCTTCTATATTCTCTCTCTTATTGGTATTATGATTGTCATTATTCTGTTGCTTTGCATGTACACTGACAGCTTCTGCACCAGAGACAAATTCCATGTGTGTCTAATCACACTTGACCAAATAAAATACTCAATTTAATTTGATATACATTGCATTTTAAATATGTAAAGTTCAGCAAAAAGTATTAATGTATTTTCAAATACATTGTTGCACATATCAGAACTCTGAACTACAGTAGTTCATGATAAAGAAGGTGCAAGAAAATGAGATGGGGAAGGAGTAGGGCTGAGACCTGGGACCATTACCTTTCCGGGGGCAAAATCTTTTAGATCCATAATGCTTAGCTTGTCCACAGGATGAATCTTGTCATAATCAGCTGGATCAGCAAATGTTAGTGGCAAGAGTCCTTGCTTCTTCAAATTAGTTTCTGTTAAAGGATTTAAATTTAATGTATTAGAATATACATTCTAGTAGACTATTGCAAAGAGCAAAACCTCAATACTATTTGTGCATTTTGCAATATGCCTTGCATCTCATCGTCATAAGTACTTTCAAATATTTATGAAATCAATTGTTTATCACCTTGTCTATATTCCTTCAGCCTTGCATATGCATCCAGTTTTGTGCAGTTGATGGGAATGGTAGTTGTACTTTTAGGTCACTGAAAGATGAAATGGATAGAAAACTAACTCCATCTCTTCAATGGCAGTGCTTAAGATCTTTTTCTGCCATGTCAGAAAACTCTATTCTTTCAATTGTATGCACTGACTTAATTTGAGTATTGCTCAATTTCTTTATTGCATAATTCAAAATAAACAGAGTTTGCCTCCAGCAAGAAAACATAGGAAAATGTAACAATAAACACAATCAAGTAATCTCCATGCCTCTAAAAGTATTTTGAGGTATACTTTTGTGCCCTGTGCACATTTAGTATATGCCAGGTTTGTTCTCTGGGGTGAAAAGAATCTGAGAAGAAACTAGGGAAAATAATCATTTGTGTTTGGTCGAACCTATAATTCTTGGGCATGAAAGCAGAAATTCCATTTTACCACCAGCTAGCTTTGGAACAATACATATAGATTGTTTCCCTAACTGTCTTAAACCAGCATTTGCACTATCAAATGACTGCCAGCAACTGAAGTGTTAACAGGCTGTCTACTTTACTGAGGTACTTTTAAAAATGCTAAGATGAAATTTTAAAGGCTGGATGGTTGAGGGAACCAGAAGGAATTAAAGATCACAATGAAAGAAGAACATTTGAATTTACTAATACAATATAGAACAAAATACTTTAACGTATTGAAGAATAATTGTGAACAATGGACCCATAAACTAATTTTAAAAATGTCTGACATTATGGACAGACTGTATTTGGAATGATATAGAAGGATATACTATACTGGATATACAAATAAAACTGGATGATGTGACCTGAGTCCCTTATGGCTGATCCTAGGTATGCTTTCTACATCTCCTGCTTTATATCTGAGCTTTTCTTCCTTTCCATCTCTTCCTACATCCTTGTTTGATTGGTTGGCTTGGGGATTACACTTGGGATTAGATCCTAAAGATTGGTCACCCTCCCCCCCCCCCAGTTTTAGTTTAAAGCCCTTTGGATAAGTTGAGCCAGTTATTTTCCAAATACATTCTTCCCAGTTCTTGTGAGGTGCAACCCATCCCTTACCAGAAGCCCTTCATGCAGGTAATGCAGACCGTGATCTAAGAATCTGAAGTTCTCTTGATGGCACCATCTCTTAAGCCAGTGGTTTATTTCTAAAATCCTTTGTTCCCTCACTGGATGTTGAATTTTGTTAGAAGTACAGATGAAAACATCACCTGTGCTCCTAACTCTTAATTCATCTTAGCATTTTTGATATTGTTTTCAGGTTCATTGTCATGTAATTCATCCCCACATGAAACAGCAGAAAGGGATAGTAATCTGTGGGGTTGATTATTTTAGTAAGACTCTCAGCCACATCTTTGATTTTGCTCCAGGGAAACAACATACCTCCTTAGACTAATTGACAAATCTACAGACTGCTGATTCCATTTCCCTGAAAAGTGAATTTCCTATTTCCAATACTCTTTTTTTTCTTGGGAAAGTCTGGTCTACCTATCTGTCACAGGAACACTAGATGATGTCCCTTCTTGAGGTGTCTGTATGCTTTCTTCCAGGAGGAAGATATAAAATCGACTGCTCAGCTCCAGTGGGGCTGCAATGAACTGGGCTAAACTACACAGCAGGTACAGTAGTGGCCAAAATTGTGGAAAACTTTTGGGAAAAGTGTACATTTGAGGTTTGATGGTTAATAACACCACTTTTTTGGAGTAGTACCATAAAATTATATATCAATAGAAAGATAATTTAATCAAGAATGTAATGCAACAAGGTTTGTTCAATTATCTGTATTCTATGAAAAGTTATAGCCAAATAACCAGAAAAAGGAAGCACAACTTGCTTAGGTTGGTATCAGGTAACTTTCCTTCATCTGATTGTAGCCAATGAGCCAAACATATCACAATAGGATTCAGTTATTGATATCATGTATTGAAGCTGAGAGGAGGACAGTTGACTGGTCGCCCAGAAAGCGATGTAAAATAGTATTATTACGTGAACAAGGCTACAGTTATAAAGAAATTAGAAAAAAAATTGGTGGAAACTTAACCAAAAGTGGCATTTCTAAGTTTTTGAAGAGGTATAAGGAGACTCAGTCACTACAAAACCACACTGGTAAAGGCAGGAAAAGGTGCACAACAGCAAGTGATGATAGAAGAATTAAGAGACTGTGCCTATGTGACAGAAGAAAATCATCTGGGTGTATACAAGATGAAATGGTGCAATGCAATGTGAAGTTGACTGCAAGGACTGTTCGGCGCAGACTGCAGGAATTTGGCCTAAAATCTAGAATTCCACAAAAAAAGCCACTTTTATCTCTCAAAAAAGGTTGAAAACTGGGCTAAAACCCATGTTACCTGGACAGAGGGACAATGAGGCAGTATTATTTGGAGTGATGAGACCAAGATCTCCCTGTTTGGTAGTGATGACATAAAATACATAAGGAGAAGAATCGGAGAAGATTTGCATCCTGATTGCATTACATGTACCATGAAACACCCAGTCAGTGTTATGATCTGGGGTTGTATGACATCAAAAGGTGTGGGCAGAATTTATGTGATTAATGGGAATATAAATGGCCAAAAATACATTAATGAAATACTTGAGCCCAAACTGAAGCCTTCCACACATGATCTTTTCCAAGACAATGAAGCATTTATATTTCAACAGGATTCAGCTCCATGTCATGTTGTTGCTGTGTGCAAAAAGTGGTTTCAAGATAACATATTCCACTGCTGGAATGGCCTGGGAATAGCCCAGACCTTAACCCAATTGAAAATCTATGGAGCCGACTAAAGAAACTTGTTAGTCAGAAGCGACCCAGCAATAAAACCCAGTTAATAGAAGCAATCATTCAATCTTGGTTTCACATTATAACAGCTGCAGAACTAAAGGACTTGGTTCACTCCATGGGAAGACGCTGTAAGGCCGTAATTCATGCTAAAGATTACCCAACTAAGTATTAGCTGACATGGTGATAATTTTTGTATATCTCATTTTTTCTATGGTGACAATTCTTGTATATCTCATTTTTTCTACGTGTTTCACTTTTCTTCTTTATAACTGCTACTCTAGTAGCAAATCCTTCATAAAAGTTATTGCATTATATTCTTGATTAAATTATCTTTCCATTGATATATAATTTTATGGTACTACTCCAAAGAAAAAGTGGTGTTATTAGCCATCAAACCTCAAATGTACACTTTTCCCAAAAGGTTTCCACAATTTTGGCCCCTACTGTATAAGTATTGACAGCAATTCAATACTTATTGATTGTAGCAATATTACTCCTAAACGATTTTTACCGTATTTAAGTTGTTTTAAATTTATATTGCAATTAATAACGAGATAACCTGATTTTTACTTTGTCTTAATATTTATTAGGTTTTATTAACTTTGCTTTTTCTCTATTTCCACCAATTGCCTGAAGCTATACAAGAAAGTCGAACTAAATATGAGTTCTATTATTTTGGTAAGCAAAATATATTATACATCTAGTAGCCTTCTAGCAGCAGTAGTTTTGCAGAAAGTGGAGGTCTTACCATGAATCCTGGCAAAGCTCTTGACAATAATAGCCCTTCCTCCTAGATGTCGTGGCTCCAAAGCTGCATGTTCTCGACTTGAGCCTTCCCCGTAATTTTCATCTCCAACAACAACCCATTTAACATTATGTGTCTGAAACAAACAAAACATTTATTCAATAGGATAAATATATAAATTATGTCAGGAAGCAAAGCAAAAACTAAATCTGTTACTCTATTGTTCTGTGGAAAAAATGGTAAGAATAATGAATGGTGGCATCTGAAAACGTACTTGAGAGCTATGAAAATGGGAAAAAACATACATAAAGTTGTATAATATTGGAGGGAGACTAGAAACTGGTAAATTCCAAAAACCCGTAAGGCCCTCATGTCAGATTTTGTTTTCAGCTTCCTAGCATCCCAAGAATAAATAAGTAGTGGCAATGATTTATTTAATGTAAACACCAAGGAAAGACATTTTTACTCTCAAGTTTGAATACATTTAAATGTTTAGGCCTGTTATCTTGTGTCAATTACTCTATTGAGGTGAGCACAAGTTTAACTAAGGAAAATATAAACATAATAACAAAGTGTTCACAGCTAAGAGAAAGGGCAGAAAGATTCTCATACTGAGTGAGTTAGACCCAATTTAATATTCTCTATTTTAAGTGACAGTTATTCTAGGTTTTCCGACATAGATCTTTCCCAGTGTTTCCAAGAGCCACCTAAAAACAGAGAAATTCTAATGACTGTCAAAGTCTCAGATCTACGTAAAACTTTCATAATTTTCAGTTCTGGGCTTCTGATGGTTTTTGGCTCCCCACAGCATCCAAATGACTGTAAAGAAAAACAGTCTCTTTTTGCTGCTGCAAATACAACAACATGCCTAAAATACAATAAAATTTCATAGCCTTACCTTGTAGTAACGGGCTGTGTCAGGAACAGGTCCAAACTCCTGTGTTAATGCATTTCTGATTGAGTTGGCCTTGTCATTTTCAATATTTATAGCTCCAATCAATAGATTGTTTGAAATGTTGTCCAGGTGCCCACGGAATTTGAGCCAGGGGCCTGCTGCTGAAATGTGGTCAGTTGTACATTTCCCTTTTACCTGAGTGCAAGATAATTATACAGACATTCAGTCTGCATAAAAAGAGTATTTTGACAGCATCAAGCAATTTTTAGTACCCCAACATTTACCCTATGGATCATTACCTTGTAGTGTGAAGCAGCTTGCGCATCCCAATGAAGCTCTGAGCTATACTATTGGGAGTATACATTTCCAGAAGGGTCATCCATTCATCCATGACAGCCAGGTCATAGACAAGGGATCAAACTAAATATGATCCACTGGAGAAGGAAATGCAACCCCCTCCAGTATTCTGCCAAGAAAACCAAATGGATATTCACAACCAAGACAATGTAAACATGATATGGAAGATGAGCCCCCAAGATCAGATGGTATGCAACAAGCTACTGAGGAAGACCAGAAGGCAAGTATGAAGAGCAATTATTAAAGCCAAAAGAACGTGTAGTTGCTAATGTACTCAGAGACAAAAAGAAAGTTGTTTGGTGTAAATAGATATAAATAAAATATAAACAAATAAAAAACACGGAATGCGGTATGCGGAATGTAGAACCATGAACAGACAAACATGATGTCAGAGCAGAAACTCAAGATTCAACATTGATATTCAGGGACTCAGCAAACTGAAGTAAAAGGGAATGGGTCATTTCATATTAGAACACCATTTCTTCTACAAGGGACAAAGAAAAAAAAACAAAGAAGAAACGGAGTAGCTAGTTATTAATAAAAGATTGTCAGAGTCAGTGCTCATATACAACCCCCACAAAATGACAAAATAGTATCGGTTTACATCCAAGGAAAGCCAACCAACATTATAGTGAATCAAATCTATATTCCGACCACATATGCAGAGGAAGTAAATGATGAATGATTTTACAGTAACTTGCAATGCTTTGTTGAAACAACATAGTAATGGACATTGATTACAGTTATACTGGAATACTACGCACAGTCACTCAAGCCCTCGTTGTTTCCCGCCTGGACTATTGCAATGCTCTCTACATGGGGCTCCCCTTGAGGTGCACCTGGAGGCTCCAGCTAGTTCAGAATGCGGCTGCGCGGGGGATTTTGGGGGCCTCTAGATGCTCCCATGTAACACCTCTCCTGCGCGAGCTGCACTGGCTGCCGGTGGCCTTCCGGGTGCGCTTCAAGGTGTTAGTAACAACTTTTAAAGCGCTCCATGGCAATGGACCTAGGTATTTGCAAGACCGCCTCCTACCAAACACCTCCCTTCGACCAGTCCGCTCCCACAGAGAGGGCCTCCTTAAAGTGCCGTCGGCCAGACAATGCCGGCTGGCGACCCCCAGGGGGAGAGCTTTCTCTGTGGCAGCTCCTGCCCTCTGGAATGACCTACCCCCCGACCTACGTACAGTTGCGGACCTGCGCCTTTTTTGCCGAGCCCTGAAGGCCCATCTATTCCGTGCGGCCGGCCTGGCATAGTTTGATTATGTTTTAGTGGGGGTTTTGTATGGGGTGTTTTTAGAACAGGCCTGTTATTTAATTTGATTTTAGAACAGAAACTTGTGTATATTTATCGTGGTTTTTAGTATCGCCTGTTCACCGCCCTGAGTCCCATAAGGGAGATAGGGCGGTATATAAATTTAATAAATAATAATAATAATAAAGTTGGGAATGAACTAGCACTTGGAATAATGGGAAAATGTGGTCTTTGTACATAAACTGAAGCAGGAAACGTACTAATAGATTTCTTTCAAGACAATTAGAAATGTATAACATAGGCCTTCTTTCAAGAAAGTAAAATACAGCTTTACATATGGATACCATTGGATGAAAAATGTTTATATCAAATTGACTATGTAAGGCACCAGACTATAGAAACCGTGAGATTCTGAGTTCTAGTACCACCTTAGGCGTGAAAGCCAGGTGAGTGAATTGGAGCCAATCTCTCTCTCAGCCAAACCCAATAATATCCAATATGATTGTAGAGTGAAGATAAAATAGATTCAAATGATTAGATTTGATAAATAAAAATGCCTGAAGAACACTAGATTGAAATTGTGGTATCAGTAAAGATGAAGCAAACAAAAATCACGCAATAAAAGAAAGTGAAATTGCTGTCTGCTGACATTTTTGCAAACAGGATATACTTTCAATGCTGAGGAAAGACAGAAAGCAAAAGACGACAGAAATAGAAGAAAATTTGTCCAACTGAATTCCAGAAAACAGCAATAAACAAGACGTTATAGCTAAATAAGCAGTGCACTGAAACTGAGGATAATAATCAAATGGGAAAGACAAGTGATTTAAGAAAATTACAGAACCTTTTATGAAATAATTAGCGATTAGGAAAAAAAACAAAGCTCAATTGAAAAACAAGAGATGGCACAAATATATGGAAAAACTGTAAAAAAAATATATCCCCAAATTGATGATGCGAAGACTTATTTCAATTAGTTAAAAGGGTGGAAAATGAAGATAAGTGGCTCTGAAAATATCACTATACACAGAACTTCAATCGTTAATGAGCATCTAGCTGAACTGCTTAAAACTCTGCAACATACTGCAATCATAGTGCTACCTGCAATTTGTAAGTAAATATGGAAAACATAGCAGCAGCAAGGCACTGGAAAGGATAAATTTTATATTTCAATCCCAGAAAAGTGCAATGCTAAGACACGTTCCAACTACCAAGCAACCATACTTATCTCACATTCTAGTAAGATAATGCTCAAGATTTTACAATTCAGACTGGAATAAGAAGTGCCAGATATACAAGGTAGATTCAGAAGAGAAAGGAGCGCTCAAGATCTCATTACAAATATTCTGTAGATAATGGAAAAGGCAAGAAACTTCAAAAAAAAAAGATTTTTCTTCATTGATTATATATAGTCCACAACAAATTGTGGATGGCCTTGGCTGTATCAGGCCACCTCATCTGCCTCTTAAAGAATTTGTGTTATGACATAGAAGCAACTGTTTGAAAGAAATACAGAGCAAATATATGATTCAAAATTGGGAAGAAGAGCATCGTATGTATGCTGTTCACTACATAATTGGACCGATACACTTCAGTTATTTTTGTTCCTATCATTAGAAATGCTTTATAAGAGCCTATATGAAACAGAATGTTTAGGTATTACCAAATAATACCACAAAACTTTTCAGATTTATCTGTTTGCTGCCAGTTCTTACCTTTATGAGGATCAGCATGTCTTCCAGGTCCTTTCCATCCCACTTGTCAAAGGGCTCAAGTAGTTGCAAACGCTGGCTAGTGGGGCTCACATCCACATGTTGGCTGCTACCATCCTTTGGAGGATACTGATAAGTATCCTGGCCTGGATCAAATTCCTAACAGAAAGTAGGAAAAAGTGACTGTTAAGGAGGAAAGGAATATTATTTAGAAAGGAAAGGCAATCAGTAAACGTTGGATTGCACACTGCATCTTGTGTATATCAATGGGCCAAATAAAGATAAGACTTTAATCACTTGAACCATTTTGCTCTAGCATCCTCAAGTACTGTTTGGCTCAAATAATTTTCCTTTCTCCCTCCCTTTATTGAAAGCTTAAATTACTACTCCTAACCTATCTCACTTCAATGTAATACCATGGCTCATGGGAATTACAACCTATAAGGCATCTATGGAGTATTTTGTGTTTTATACAGCTGTACTTACTACATAGTTAGTCTACCTACCAAACAAATAAAATTATATTGCCACACATGAAGTCAATGGAACTCTGTAGGGTAGCCAGAAAATAAAAAACATAATACACAATCAAGCTACATTAAAAAGAATCAAACTGAGGCTGTTAAAAAAGTTCCTTGCCAATACCTCCCCCACACACACACGTACATGTACACCCACCCACATATACACAGTTCCATTAATGTCCTCATCCTTATGCATGGGAGAAAAGCCAGGTTTATAAGCTTTTCCAAAGGCCAACAGGGTCATAGCCATCCAAATCACTAGAATGAGGTTGTTCATTAGGGAGGCACCATGACAGAGAAGACATGCTTCCTAGAATCTACCAGGTGATGCTGCTTCATCAAGGAAACCCGTATCTAGTGGGGCAAACAAATTTGGAATAGGTGATCCCACAAGTAACCTGGGCATCATTTGATAAAAATCATAACTCGTATTAATGACACGTGATCCCCTGGTGACAGAAAAACTCATCAAGGGCAGTTTCATTAATGATACTCCTACCAATTTGGGATGAAGAGAAGCAATGAAGATTAAGAAAACATAAGTACCAGTTTTGGCAACTCATCGGCATCAGGTGGCTCAAGTTTAAACTTCTTTCCATCTGCTCCTGTCAGGGAGTCAAGCTCTGGATTAAACTTCAAAGTGCCAGCAAGTGCCAGGGCTGTTACTATCTGAAAAAGGCAATCCGTTATGAGTAAAGAAAGGTTGTCTCACCTCTGTCTTAACAGCATGCTAAGTATTTTTGTAATCATCATCCACTAATCCAACTAAAACCCTGGCATTGTATGAAGAAAAATACCTGATTGGGAAAAACTACTTGTAGCATGAAGTTCAAGTATTGATGAGCAAGAATTGGAATATAGGTCCAGAGTTGAATAAATAATCTTAATTAAGTAAAGACCTCTGAGAAAAGGAGGCAATTGAAATACATTCTTTCTCTAATACAGGTAATCCTCAGTAGTCCATTCAGTCAACTATCATTCCAAATTATGACAGTGCTGAACAAATGATGGTTATAACCAGTTGTCAAAATTCAGCTTTCCAAGCACCTTGGCGGTTACATGAACTTAATCTGTGTGCCTAGCAATCGGTTTGTACTTAGAGCCAGTTGTCAAGTGCCCTGCGATTATATGATCACCATCAGCAACCTTCCGTGCTGGCTTCCCCAGAAAATCAGTGGGAAAGCCAGCAGGAAAGGTTGCAAGTCACTGGTGTAAGTCTCACTTTGTTTGTGCACCTCACCAGCCCCTCTGTATCAACACCAGCCACTTGCATACCCTCGTGATCCTTCCTGACACAGGTTCCCTGACCCACATGGCACTTCAACCACCCGCCCCAACCCCATGGTGTGACATGAGTGCAATATCACACCAGCCACTTGCACATCCTCCCTGACTCATGCAGCACTTTTCACATATCCTTCCTAATCCATTAGACAGTTCTAACACAGTCAGCCCTCCCAAGCAGGCCAGACAGGAAATATAATCAGACAAGCTGCTACTACTTTACTGAAAGGCTATATTCTCAGAATCTGGCAAGTCTGAAAGTACAAATCTCCCAGTTTTTTTTTTAATAGCCTGAGAACTTAAGGAAGGAGGTCCCTTCTGAGCCTCTTTCTCCTACCATCTTGCAGCTGCAGGTTATGACCTTTTATCTGACCTTTTCCTGGGCAGCATATCTTCCATCTCTGAAGATCATTGCCACAGCCTATTAGATGCATCCACCTGCACGCTCCCCAACTCACGTAACATTTCTTGTGCACACCTTGCTCCCTTCCCAACCCAGCATCTCCTCACATCCTTCCCAACATGCATAGGACCATGCACCCTTCCCAACCATGTGCATCTCCATAACCCTCCTGACCTGCACAGCACCTCATGTGCAGCCTCCCTGTCCACGCAGTGCCTCTCATGCACTCGCTTACACCCTTGTATACCCTCACCAACCCACACGTCTTTCACAGACATTCTGATTCTCCCAGCATTTCTTGTGCATCTTCTCCAACCCTTCTGTTGTGGCTCCGTCCTGTGGGTCCCTCTCATCAGAGGAAGGCTCTGAACATGAAGGAGAGGAGATGGCCAGGCCTCCCTCTCCAGGACCTTCCCCTCTGGTGCGGCCTTCGGTGCCTTCCGACGGAGAGGAGATTGGCCAGGAGCCCGGTGCTTCTGGGATTGGCCAGGAGCTAGGTGCTTCTGGGATTGGCCAGGAGCCAGGTGTATCGGACTCCGAGGAGGATACGTCTTGGCTGGATCCACGCCAGCGTCGGAGGGACAAGCGTGCGCAGCAGCTGAAACACCGTGCCAGAGATTTCAGCTGAGTCACTGGGCCACACCCCACAGGCTATATAAGCAAGGGGTGTGCCGTTTGAAACTTTTGTGACGAACAATTTTGCTGAATCTCCTGTTGCAGCACTCCGGCAATTTATCCTGGACTTATCGTATGTTTGTATTGTGTTATCAGTAAAAGCCTTGGCAGGCAGCCACGGAGTTGCTGCCAAGTGTTCATCTGTATTTGGCTGTGCTGAGCAGTTTCTCAGCCCTCGGCTGACTGGTTGGGGGTGTGAGTCGGACGGGGGACAGAACACCTCCCTTGCATCTTCCTCTTGCTAGGCTCCTGTGAGACTGAGACTTGCAACTTCCTGCTGGCTTCCCCACTGACTTTGGTTGTGGAAGCCAGCAGGAAATTATCTTGCCTAATGCCCATGGAATTCAATTAACTACAGCAAGTGAGACTGCAGGGATTGCCATCAATAAATGATGCAGTTGTGCTTTATGACTGCATTGCTTAGCAACAGAAATTCTGGTCCCAACTGCTGTCGTTAAGTAAAGGACTACTTGTATACACAATGGGTTTGTATGGTTTTAGCTTAATATGATGTGTGAAACTAGGCTAAGCAATTTGTGTTTACTTTCATACACCTGTCATATACTATACCTCTGGAGACGTTACAAATGCATGTGTTTCAGGGTTGGCATCATTACGACCAGTGAAATTTCTATTATAGGATGTAACAATTGTATTCCTTTCACCTTTTTTGGTATCTTTTCTGCAAAGGAAAAAAGTTTGTCCCATAATTAAAAAGTTTATTCTGCCATAAGGGTATGAGCAAGTCACTGTTAACTTTCTAACATTTATATTACTTCAAGCTAATGCTCCTAAAGATGCATAGAAAAAAATCCTATTAGATATAAAAGCCGAGTAATTGGGACAAGAAATAATCTACTCAAATAACACACTGTCTATAGAATGATGTAAATGAACAAGACCCACACAAAACCATAGGAAATCCTCATATCCAAAATCAAAGGAATGTTATAAACTCATCAACTCATATCTTTTCATGTTAGCTTATATTAGAAAATACATAATTTTCTTAGCAATCTAAACTCTTCTGCTCATAATTAAGGTATCATGAAATTGAGATGAAAATATTCATAAAGTAGAAAGTGCAACATAGTATAGGTTGTACCTATCAAAACTGCTTACAAAATAAATTAGTAACGGCCATAATTAAAAAAGAATTGATGAGTTTAGTTAGCTCCAAACTACTTTGAGAAGATGGCTATTCAGGAACAAGACAGATGTACACACAAATACCAACTAATTTGAAATACAGGTAATTCTCGACTTACAACAATTCACTTAGCGACTGTTTAAAGTTACAACAGCACTGAAAAAAGTGACTTTTGACCAGTTTTCAACTTAAGGTCACTGCAGCATCCCCATAGTCATGTGATCAAAATTTGGGCGCTTGGCAACCGGCATACATTTATGACAGTTGCATTGTCCCAGGGTTATGTGATCACCATTTGTAACTTTCCCAACCAGCTTCTGACAAGCAAAGTCAATAGCAATAGCACTTGGACTTATATACTGCTCCAGAGCATTTTACAGCACTCTCTGAAGGGTTTACAATAGGGGAATTAGATTCATTTAACAACCACGATTCACTTAGTAACTGCAGTAATTCACTTAACAACAGTGGCAAAATTTTGTAAAATGGGGCAAAACTCACCACTGCCTTGTTTAACAATGGAAATGTTGGGCTTAATTGTGGTTGTAAGTTGAGGACTACCTGTACTGAATAAAAACTATTCCTTACAAGCATTTCTAATATTTAAATAGTGTATAATCATTTAAAACATGTTTCTTTTGCTAAAACGAACTATTCTCTAAAAACTGCTGAAAATGTAATAAGCAGATCATTCTTTCATATTTGTGGTAATATTATAACATTGCCCAACCATTTTGGAAAATGATCCATATTTGAATGAAATAAATTTTCAAAATTGAATTCTCATTTCAGCCTGTGATTCTTGTTGAACTTTACAAACTGTATGTTCCTTCAAAATATATTGAATTAGCTTGGCATATACCAGTGATGGCAAACCTTTTAGAGACTGAGTGCCCAAACCGCAACCCAAAACCCACTTATTTATCGCAAAGTGCCAGGGCCTCATCAGCATTGTGGTGCCCTGGGGGGGGGGGGTCAGGGAGGCGCCTTGCAGTACGGCCTCTGACACGCAAAAACCGGGGTCGCAAAAATGGGCCACCGTGCTGCAAGGCGCAAAAACGGCCGCCGCTGCATCACAGGGTGCAGATACAAGGCGCTGCACCACGTAAGAATGGGTCAGGGCTAGTATCACGCAGACACTAGCCCCGCTCCATTTGCAGCAGGTGCTTGCTCGCGGCCCTGTGCACGCATGCACGTGTGCAAAATCCTTCCCCCTCCCTTTTCTTCCAGTCCACCAATCGACAATGGTTGGTGACCTCTGCTCTACCACCTCTACTCGAGCTTGCTAGTCGGCCGCTTTGCCTCCTTTGTGCTGGGCAGGGCTCCTGCTCTGGGTGGCAGGGGCGGCCTGATGGACCTGTTGCTGGCGGTGGTGGTGCCCGTGCCAACAGAGAGGGCTCTGAGTGCTGCCTCTGGCACACGTGCCATAGGTTTGCCACCACTGGCATATACTAACTGCTGCACAGACGTTATATGCTTTTTACTGGAAAGGATGTTTGAACTTGTCACTTGGAAAATGACTAAGTTGTAGGAGTATGTTTGGATGCCTAGAATAACTCCATAACTTAAATGTAAATGTGATACATTGACTGAGAACCTCTACAGACATAATGATACAGGTAGTTCTCAATTTATGACAATTGGGATCAGAATTTCTGCTGCTAAGCAAGGTGATTGGTAAGTGAAGCATGCTTGTTTTTATGACCGTTTTTGGCACAGTTAAGCAAATCACTGCCATTGTTAAGTGATTCAGGTCATTGTTAAGAGAGTCTGACTTCCCCCATTGATTTTGCTAGTCAGAAGGCAGCTAGTAAGGTTTCAAGTGGTGATCACGTGAACCTGAGATGCTGCAACTGTCATAAATACAGGCCAAGTGCCTGAATTTTGATCACATGACCATGGGGGTGCTATGATCGTTGTGAGAGGAACATCTGTAAGTCATTTTTTCCAGTGCTTTGTAACTTTGAATGGTTGCTGAATGAATGGTTGTAAGTTGAGGACTACCTGTATAGAGTTCAAGCTAAAAATCATTCCTCAACTATAAGCGGTCCTCAACTTATGACCGGTTGCTTAGCAATTGTTCAAAGTTGCCACTGACCCCTCCCCCCAAGTTACTTATGACCAGTTCCAAAGTTCCTTTGCCCACCCCACTCCCCCCACCCAGGGTCATGTCTTTTGGGTGTTTGGTAACCAGCAGGCAGCAGGCATTTACAGCCATCTGTAGCACTGTGGTCACATGACTGCAATTCATGACATTTTTGCCAAAATCCAGCATTTACTTCCATTTTTGAAAAAACGCCCCATAGTGAACAATGGATTTGTTTAATGACTACAGATTCACTTAATGACCATGTTGGTTTGCTTAATGACCACCATTATTGTAATAGACAGGCTCCATTACGGTCGTAAATCGAGGATTACTTATGTAACTTCATACATGGATTTGTATCACATCCAAAATTGAGTTTCTCTATTCGTAAAGTATTTTAGTTTTACAGGACATCTAAATTAGAATACATTTTTAACAACAGAGATTGAATTTAATGTAGGATATAATCTTATTTGATTATTTACACTAGGATGTTTGGCTCAGAGTTTAATGGCAACTTTTAAAGTTATTCATAATTAACTAATGATATACTTAAAATTTATAGTTTAGCAACATCAACTGTCCTCATTTAGTAATTGCAACTGGTTCCAGCAAAACAGTCACTTAGCAAAGCACATGACAGAGAGAGGGGAGGTTGCAAAGATCTTTGGTTGCTGCTGCTTCATTTAGATAAAGTTCTAACACCCGTATTACTCACTCCAATATATGTTGCTATCAGGCACAGACATTTGATTGTGTGTACATTGATTGGAAAATAATTTTTTTTACTACTGTTTACTACTATTTATTATAGTTGTAATTGTGAATAGTCACTTAACAAGTCAGTTGCCAAACAAGGATTGCCTGTAATTTTTATAAGTTTCTTTTTTATTCAATTTTATTTATCCCTTTGTTTTATTTCTGTTTATGTATTTTTTTTTAGTTTGTCTAATAAAAAATAAAATACTTCTTTCTTATGGGAAATCAACATAGTTTTTCCACATATATAACATCTTACCTGTCCCATTGGCCTATGCATGGCCCGCATGCATTAGCAAGAACTATTCCACCAACATCACGCAAGACTTTTGACTGAAGGAAATAGAAAACAGAATTAAACAGCAGATGAGGTGCTGGTCTTCAACCTGATTTTAAAAAAAAGCATATTCCAACTGCAAAGAGGAAAAAGAATACTTACATATCCATCTCTTTCAATTGTGGCCCGTATCTGCTCTGAACCAGGTGTAATAGTGAACTGAGACTTGCACTTAACACCATGATTTAGTGCTTGTTTTGCCACTGCTGCAGAGCGCCCCATATCCTCATAGCTTGAATTAGTGCAGCTGCCAATCAGACCTGTGAAGATGGAACAGAGAATATCACCATCAGATTCTTTTAAACTTTACTCTGCTGAAAATTCTTTTTCTTCCACTAAAAGAGTTATCTGAATCCATAACTTTTGCATGGCTTTAGCATTTTAAAGTGAGATTAAGGGGGAAACAGCCAGTATTCCGTCATATCAATTTGAATTAAATGGCATGAGCTACTTCTTAAGAATGGGATGACGATTTGTAGTGAATAGTTTCATTTCCCAAACAGTTTAGTTAAATAATTTTATTAAATCACTTGGAATATATAAACAGGACCATTAACCCTATAATAAACAGTGCAAAATAGATGAGAATATTGCTTCCAACATATTACAGTAAGCCAATATTATTTTTCCAGATATTGGCATGGCAGAATAAAAATACAATGTGCAAAGAATGTTTAAATATAAAAGAAATGTTATTTGACTGTCAAGGTGGAGAAGAAAACTACCTTAAAAAGAGAAGAGTCAGCCAGATAAATCCTACTCACCAACTCGAATATCCACTGGCCACCCCTTTTTTTCTGCCACAGAGCCAATCTCTTCTATTGTGTGTGCCAGATCTGGTGTAAAAGGTCCGTTGATAAGGGGTTTCAGCTTTAAGAAAGAAAAAAATCAAGCAAATATTTGAGAACACTCTAAAGACCATTATAAGAACACAATTGTTTTTTGTAATACATCAATGCATGAATTGCATCAGATATGGCATATTTTAAAAATGTTCTTATACAGCCTTCTCAGCAACAAAGGTAAGGAAAAAACGAACACACGTACCAGACATCTCCTTCTAAACCTCTGTTATTTCTCTAGCTTTCTTCAGAAGCTACAAGAATGACTTACCTCACTGAGATTAATTTCAATTAGCTGATCATAGGAACAGCCAGGATCAGGTTTCAAATGCTCTTGGAATTCATCTGCCACATTAGCAATTTCTGAAAACAGAGAAAGAAGAGGACAGATTAGAAAGAGAAAAATTGATTACGATCACCTGTGAAGAATGAACAATTAATTTTTCTAAATTACCGGACAGGTCTCTGCCTCACCCAAAATATGTTTTATCAAAACATGCAAGCTAATACAAAGTACACCAATATAGATAGTTCTTGACTTACAACAGCAACTGGGACCAGGACTATATGTATGCATTATTATACCACTATCCAAACTGCTGAATATTCATTTTTCATCACCATCGTCTCTATGAAGCAATTGTTAAACCTAACTTTATCTCTGTTTCCCAGATGGGAGAAGAGTGAAAACAAATGAGGACCTTCAATAAAATCTGACCACTCATCAAAGGTCTTACCAGCACGTCCAGTCTTGGATAAATATTTCTTCATACGGTGATTGTAAGGGAAGACTGAAGTAGTTGCACCAATCTCTGCTCCCATATTACAGATAGTCGCCATTCCTGGAGTTGAAAGAAATTCAGACAAGTGAAATTTGAACACAAAGTAAATCCCACTCACAAATTAGTTTACTCACAAAAAATGTTTTACATAAAGATAGGAGGTAAATAGCATTTTATGTATTTTAATTAAAAGCAATAACTCTTAAGGCCAAAAAATAGTTGAATTCCATCTCTGATTCTTTATAGCCATTTCTCTCCCTAGTCATGACTGGTCCCCCAGGACTAAATTTATATTTAAGTATTATAAAACATTTATTTTCCTGGACAGAATGCCCCAAACTGCTAACAAATGAAACCAAAATACCATTGATGTTCTCTGAATGTATTAAATTCTCTCAAGTAAGTAGTTCAATGGCAGTACTGAACTGTTCTTGCGCAATTCAAATTTGATGCAACTCAGCTTTATAATTATTTTCTAACAGACATAAAAAAAGGACCAGCATACAGCAGCACTTCTCATAACAATGCTGATCTTCATGGCTTAATGGTTGTCAAGTATTTCCCTCTATAGATTACAAAAATTATGTATTTTAGTCCAGTGAAATAACAACACTGTAATACCCATAACAGTCTATCATCAATGATCAAACATTCATTTTCACTGATATGAAATGGTTGTTCCTCACCTGTACAAGAGATGGAATCCACACCAGGCCCATGATATTCTATGATGGCTCCTGTACCACCTTTCACAGTAAGTATACCAGCCACTTTAAGGATTACATCTTTTGCAGAACTCCAGCCTGATAGAGTACCAGTTAATTTTACTCCAATCACCTGAAAACCACCAATGAAAATAGATTACATCACTTAGATTTAAGTAAATATTAGTTCCTCAAATCTTTTGTGTAATATATTACAGTAATTGGAAACGCATAAGTAAGTTACTCTTGGGATTAAAAAAAATCAATTGCTGTTAAGGCTCTCATATGTTTAGCACAGTGGTCAGTAAGAATAGGGAAATGACCAAAACTTCAGAATTGCTCCATCACAGCAGCATATTTAGCACTGTAGCATCTTCACTTTTAAAAAACACTTTCTTGTTCATATAGTCTCATTTGCTGGATGAAGAAACATTTTTATTCTTCTCTAATTTACCTTTGGACATTTAAGCTCCCAGGGAATTCCTGCCATGACATCCACTGCATCAGCACCACCAACTCCAATGCAGATTCCACCCAATCCACCACCATTGGGGGTATGGGAATCAGTGCCAATAAGCATAACACCAGGATAGGCGTAGTTCTCCAGAATAATCTGAGACAAACAGTACAATGTATTTAAGCAAAGATGAGCAAACTAACACTTTTAAAATGTTTTCAACTTCTAGTACAAAAGCAGGACCAAAACTACAGAGTTTTGTTATAATCTTTCAGAAATATTAAAACTAAATAAAGAATAAAGCTAACGTTACAGTAAATAAGATTACACCACCTCTTATCTGGGCTTCCTCCAGATATTGGGACTTCCAAATTCTCCAGCTAGCATGATGAAAGTTTAGGAATTAAAGGTCATGTATCTGGAAGGCATCCAGTCATTGGAAGGACTCTACTTTTCCTAATTTCTTGCAATCTTAAATTATTCTTGAATTATAATGATCTTCAAAAAACAGTATGGTAAAAAATAACTAATTTAAAAGTGGAATTCAGTAAAGATTTATTAAACAATCAAGAGATACCACCGGAGAGACTAGTAACTCACTATGAACAAACAGTAACTTCATCTTGCTAACATTTAGTCTCAGCCTGTTCTACCTCATTCATACTCTCACAACATTCAGAGACACTCGGTCAACACATACATAGCATTACTTGTACATCCAGGGTGGCTATATATAACTGAGCACCATCAGCATATTGATGATACCAAACTCTAAGTCATTTGATGACCTCTCCCAATGACTTCATACAGAAGTCAGGGAGAAAGGGGATTAATCTTTGTAGTACCCCCATAAAGGAGAGGCTGCTTGGCAGAACTCTCATCCCCACAACCAAATAACTTATCTATTGAGGAAGGAGCAGAACTACTGCAACATGGCTCCTCAGAGTGACAACCCCTTCTTGCAGTCTAAAAGGGTATCATGTGGAGGATACTGAAGGCTGCTGAAAGGTCCAATAGGACCAGGGGGTGCTCATCCTCCTCCCATCAAGGTCACAACAGAGATAATATATTAGAGTGACTAATACTATCTCAGTCCCATGCCTTGGCCTCACTGGAAAGATCCAGATAATCTGCTTCCTCTAGAGTCTGCTATAGTTGAACTCCAAACATAGTCTCCTTAGGTTCTCCCCAAAAGGAAGATTAGAGACAGAGCAATACTTAACCAATACAGATGTAACCAGGAAGGGCCTCTTGAAATGACATACCATGATCTCCTTAATGGATGCCGATGTTACCTTTTTCCACAGTGTGAACCACCTCTCAGAAACAATGTGTCACCCTGTTCTCTTAAAGAGCCAGGGAAAATCTCAAGAACATCCTATCAACTTAATCAGAGTTTACAAGACAAAACTGATTTCAGACTATAGGTCCAGAAATGGCTCCAAACACCATAATGGACTTAACCCATGTGAAGCACGGTTTTGCTGACCCTGAACAATTTTGTCAGCAAAATGCCATGTTGCATTGTCAAGGCAGCCAGGAGAGAAATCTACATGCCACCCTTTAGGGCAGTGTTTCTCAACCTTGACAATTTTAAGGCATGTGGACTTCAATTCCCAGAATTCCACAGCCAGCAATGCTGGCTGTGGAATTCTGGGAGTTGAAGTCCACATGCCTTAAAATTGTCAAGGTTGAGAAACACTGATGTAGATGAAGACAATGTAGGAGACAAGATAAAACCTCATGGAACATCATATGATAACCAAGGTGTCAAATACTAGTTTCCTCATCAGAATCTTCTTGATGTATCCTGNATTATAATGATCTTCAAAAAACAGTATGGTAAAAAATAACTAATTTAAAAGTGGAATTCAGTAAAGATTTATTAAACAATCAAGAGATACCACCGGAGAGACTAGTAACTCACTATGAACAAACAGTAACTTCATCTTGCTAACATTTAGTCTCAGCCTGTTCTACCTCATTCATACTCTCACAACATTCAGAGACACTGGGTCAACACATACATAGCATTACTTGTACATCCAGGGTGGCTATATATAAAATTGAGCACCATCAGCATATTGATGATACCTAACTCCAAGTCATTCGATGACCTCTCCCAATGACTTCATACAGAAGTCAGGGAGAAAGGGGATTAATCTTTGTAGTACACCCATAAAGGAGAGGCTGCTTGGCAGAACTCTCATCCCCACAACCAAATAACTTATCCATTGAGGAAGGAGCAGAACTACTGCAACATGGCTCCTCAGAGTGACAACCCCTTCTTGCAGTCTAAAGGGGTATCATGTGGAGGATACTGAAGGCTGCTGAAAGGTCCAATAGGACCAGAGGGTGCTCATCCTCCTCCCATCAAGGTCACAACAGAGATAATATATTAGAGTGACTAATACTATCTCAGTCCCATGCCTTGGCCTCACTGGAAAGATCCAGATAATCTGCTTCCTCTAGAGTCTGCTATAGTTGAACTCCAAACATAGTCTCCTTAGGTTCTCCCCAAAAGGAAGATTAGAGACAGAGCAATACTTAACCAATACAGATGTAACCAGGAAGGGCCTCTTGAAATGACATACCATGATCTCCTTAATGGATGCCGATGTTACCTTTTTCCACAGTGTGAACCACCTCTCAGAAACAATGTGTCACCCTGTTCTCTTAAAGAGCCAGAAGGGGTAGGAATCAAACCCACAAATGGCCAGGGAAAATCTCAAGAACATCCTATCAACTTAATCAGAGTTTACAAGACAAAACTGATTTCAGACTATAGGTCCAGAAATGGCTCCAAACACCATAATGGACTTAACCCATGTGAAGCACGGTTTTGCTGACCCTGAACAATTTTGTCAGCAAAATGCCATGTTGCATTGTCAAGGCAGCCAGGAGAGAAATCTACATGCCACCCTTTAGGGCAGTGTTTCTCAACCTTGACAATTTTAAGGCATGTGGACTTCAATTCCCAGAATTCCACAGCCAGAAATGCTGGCTGTGGAATTCTGGGAGTTGAAGTCCACATGCCTTAAAATTGTCAAGGTTGAGAAACACTGCTTTAGGGTATAATATTTGGTGGATAATAATAGTAGTAGTAGTAGTAGTAGTAGTAGTAGTAGTAGTAGTAGTAGTAGTAGTAATAATAATAATAATAATAATAATAATAATAATAATAATAATAATAATAATAATAATAATAATCCCCCAGTGAGGCACTACCTGAGGAAGATGAGAGCTATGCCAGAGGCTCAACCATACTGGACAGGTTTCATCAGAAGAGTCAGAGGAAGAGTTTCTCTCCCATAAAAAATATAGTGAAATATAAATTTCAGAAAGCCATACCGGCTCGGATGCCGCCCGGGATAACAAGGTCCGCATTAGATGTTGGAGTTCCTGGATATCTGGTGAAAAATGGGCTACAGGACTCAGGACTGTTGGCTGAGCAACCAGGGCCAGCAGCTGCAGAACTACTGAAAGAAAAGGTTTTTACCCGTCGCAAATACACAGTGATTGAAAACAGAGAAACAATGATCTGTTATAACAGATCAAGTTCAACAAGAAGAGGATATCTAAAACGAATGCACCAGTTCTGGAAAGAACAAAATCCAGAATCAGAAATAACAGAACAGAGGCTAGCAGATCAACATCAATTTATAATACAAAATAAAGTATTCACAGAAGCAGAATTGGAAGAACTGCAAAGGTTTTACCCAGGGTAAAGAAATCAAAGCCTTTCCAGAAGTAACTCAGAATATAGAGGCAAACCAGGGGGAGTTGGCCATAGAGGTATCCAGCAGAGAAATACAACTGTTTTCATTTGGAAACCAGGCACCTCTGCCTCAAGAACAAAGCCCTCTAACTAAAGAAATAAAAGAATTGAAACAAAGAATAACTGAGCATCTAGAACAGCACAAAAACATCAGAATAAGGCTGCCTGCATTGAAGTTTGTTCCAAAGAAATAGCTAGCACAAGCGATAAAAGATGCAAATACTGCAATATCAAGTATAAGCACCAACTCACTGCAAGAAACAAACCAACTAGTGTACAGCACAGCTAGTTATAACTGAACACCTGGGATGCAAAATCAACGAAGAAGAAAAAAAGCCAAACAGTGCACTACAAAAATGGAAGATTACACTGAAAAACAAGAACAGCAAGTTGAGATCAGACGCAAGCAAGCTAGAACAGATGAAAGAAAAGAAGCTGAAGAACAAGACCAAAGAATAGCTAATCAAGAAATGCCACTTAGAAACAAGAAGATCAAGGAAGCACTGGAACTAATAAAGCAGCAAGTAACAGCTATAGCAGATATGAAGCTCGAATTGCAAATTATAGGCAGAACCTCCAATTTCAATCCAATCAGAAACATTTCTACCAATCCATCAATGGAGAAATTGCAGTGAATCCATCAGTACCTGACAAGGAAGAAACAGTGCAGTTCTGCATCCTTTAACCAGGATGCAGCTTGGTTAAAGGAGGTAGCTGCGAATAAAAAAGTTGAAATGAAAGAACTAGTAATGACAGCAGAAATGGTAGAGAAAAGAGCAAGGAAGACCAAGAATTGGTCAGCACCAGGTGAAGATGAATTGCATGGTTTTTGGTTGAAACATCTAACTGGTCTATTCCCACTCGTTGCCAAGCAGTTCAACAACATATTACAAGGAGGTGAAATTGAAGAGTGGCTAACAACTGGGAAAATCTACCTGATAATGAAAGATCCAGCAAAAAGGGCAGCACTAGGCAACTACAGGCCAATTACCTGCTTACCAACCATTTTCAAATTGCTAACTGGTATGGTAGCTGATGCAGTCCAACAATTTCTTTCCATCTGAAAACAATTTCTTTCCATCTGAGCAGAAAGGAAATTGCCCCAATAGCAGAGGAACAAAGATCAACTTCTAATTGACAAAATGATCTTGGAAAACTGCAAGAGAAGGAAGACCAACCTGAATGTAGCATGGATTGACTACAAAAAGGCATTCGACTCTCTGCCACATGACTGGATAATCAAGTGCCTAGAAATAACAGGAATCAGTAGAAATATCAGAAAGTTTGTGCAAAGATCGATGGCACAATGGAAGACACAATTGCAGATCAATGGTGAGAGACTGGGAGAGGTTAATATCAAGAGATGAATATTTCAAGGAGATTCACTGTCACCACTATTTGTCATTGCACTGTTTCCTCTGTCAACAATATTGAATAACTCAGGCCATGGCTATCAAACATCAAAAACATCTGCCAGACTATCCCACCTCCTTTACATGGACAATTGGAAGCTGTATGGAAAAACTCCATCTGAAATAGAATCGCTGCTCAACACTGTCCGTATAGATAGGCAAGATATTACAATGGAGTTTGGCTTGGAAAAATGTGCCACACCCACTATCAAACAAGGAAAAATAGTGAAAACTGAAGGAATCAAGATGCTCCATGAAAATAACATTAAGAGTCTGGATGAGGATGATTACTACAAATACCTGGGTATCCTTCAAGCTGACAACATCAAGCACACTGAAGTTAAGAAAAAGATTAGAGGTGAATACATCAAGAGAGTGAAGAAGATCTTAAAGTCCAAACTCAATGGAGGAAATACCATGAAGGCAATCAACACCTGGGCAATTCCAGTCATTAGGTACACAGCTCGAATAGTGGACTGGACTCAAGCAGAACAAAAAGCAATGGATAGGAAGACCAGAAAAATAATGACAATGAATCATGCCCTTCATCCACGCAGTGACATTGACAGACTCTACCTACCAAGGCAAATAGGTGGGCGTGGAATGTTGCAAGTACATGAAATGGTTGAAGAAGAAAAAGGGGCTTTGGAAGAATATCTGAAGGACAATGATGAAGATGCACTGAAGTTAGTATATCAGGAAGGCTTACTGACTACTGGAAAGACCAAACTGGCCTACAAGAAAGACCAAATGAAGAACAGAAGGAAGGCATGGGAAGACAAAGCACTACATGGCCAGTACATTAATAAAAATAGCTGGGAAAGCAGATAAAACCAGAGCTGGTAATGGCTAAGAGCAGGAAAGTTAAAGAAAGAGACTGAGGGACTAATTCTTTGGCTGCACAAGACCAAGCCTTAAGGACAAACGAATACAAAGCCAAAATTGAGAAGACAGCAACAGAGAGTAAGTGTCGCCTATGCAAAGAAGCTGAAGAAACAGTGGATCACCTGGTAACCTGCTGCAAGAAGATTGCATAGACTGACTACAAGCAGTGGCATGACAAATTGCAAAAGGCGGCCTTGCTGGGAACAGCTTCCATCCTACGACGATATCTGTAACACCATCAAACATTCAGATCTGCCTATCCTAGGTCCTTGGTAAGGACTCAATAGGTAGACAAAAATGCCAAACCCAGTCTGAACAACTGATCATCGCAGTCAGCCAGATGTTCATACTGGATTTGGCATTTTTGTCTACCTATCGAGTCCTTACCAAGGACCTGGGATAGGCAGATGTGGATGTTTGATACTATTACAGATATCGTCACAGGATGGAAGCTATTCCTAGTAGGGCCGCCTTTTGCAATTGACTGATGGCAAATTTGTCAATGCCAATGGTGTTCAAGCGGTGCTCCAGTTGTTTTGGGATTGCACCCAAGGCACCTATTACTATTAGTACTACCCTTGCTTGCCTTTGCCACAGTCGTTCTATTTCTATTTGTAGATCTTTGTATTTTGTTATCTTCTCCAGTTCCTTCTCTTCTATTCTGCTGTGTCCAGGCACTGCCACATCCACTATCCAGACTTTTTTGTCTGTCTTATCGACAATTGTTAAGTCCATGCGTTATGTGGCAGGCGCTTGTCTGTTTGAATTCTAAAATCCCAAAGCAATTTAACTTTTGGTCCCACCAGTTCTTGCTTGCAGACAAATTATATTTCTTGTAGATCTTCCAATGCACCATTGTTGCTACTTTGACATGCCACTGCTTATAGTCAGAAGACTATTATTATTATTATTATTATTATTATTATTATTATTATTATTTATAATGGAATTTGCCCTCTAAACAATGCACAATCTGCTGATACAATAAGGGAAAAGTAGTTAAGCTTCTACTGCTTTATAACCACGGAGTAACCTTAGGACGTGCTCAGATAGTTTTAGGTTTTCTTTCACCAGCACTCCAAGTCACTTCATTTCCCCAGGGCCTTGAAAAACCAAGGAGTTGTTAAAAAAACAAGAAAAATCACACTCTATCCCAAAAACATTTATTATAACAAGCTCTAATTCAGAAAAATATCATTTTAATTTGTGGAGAAGAAAAATCTACAATCCTTCAAAATATTGGCTTTCAATAATTCATCTCAGTAGGAAGAAAACATGCAAGGAACTTAGCAAGTTCCCCGATAAGTGAATTAGATTTGAAAGATTCAAAAAACAGCACTATATTTTAAGAGATTGGTACCACTCACAGAATTATAATGAAATTCTATGTAATTAGTTACTTTCCTGACTTTTTTTATCCCTTTGAACAGCAGCTAGGCAATTTTCTGAAGTTGGGGCTGAAGTCCCAACAGTTACTGTCAATCAATATTCAGAACAGTGAGTATTCAATTTAGCACAAATTAACTTCCTGTCTCTAACTTTGCCTAGTTTTCCCTTAACAAAGAAAAGTTTACCTGATGAATAATTCCTGATCCTGGTTTCCAGAAACCCACTCCATATTTGGCACCTGATGTGGCTAGGAAGTTGTATACTTCTTGATTAATATCCTGTTTATGTGTACAAAATTAAAGCATGTTCATTAAATATATTCATTTGAGCAGGACTGGCTTAACTATTTAGTAAAATCCACGTGACAGTTTCAATTGCATGCAGTTTCATTAGTATTTCAAGAGTTTCATGTCAGAACTCTTTAAATAAGACAACAAAATGATACTGGAATGCTGCACTGGCAAGCATTTTGGAGAGGATACATCAAGGGTTTTCAAATTCTCAGAACACCTGATCAAAAGGCAAAGGTCTACTGATTGTGTGGTTTTCTTGATTACAAAAGTGGTCTGCCACTGCTTCCTTCAGGGTGTTTTTTTTTTTTCAACTTTCCAGCCTAATCCATAGTGCAGATTTCCCATCCAAGTACTAACCAGGATCAACCCATGAATTAAAAACAAGCTTAACAAGGCATCATAGACTATTAGAATAAAGTTTTCTCTTCCTGTAATGAACTGATGATTACTCATCAAAATATTTTCTTATTAAGTACAATAAAAAGGAGGAGATGTGTGTTCTTAGGGAATAAGCAAAGATAAACAATCTATGTTAAATGTTGGACTTCTATTGAGACAGAATTTGGATATGAAAGACTTTTCCTCTACAATAAACTGGCTGAAGCTTTTAACTGATATTTACAACAACTCAAGGGACTTAACCAGAACAGAGTACATCACATGGTATGATTGGATGCAGTGTCATTGCTCATTCATCTTAATTTATTAGGTGCCAAATAGCTACCTTAAAAGTGCAGCTGCAATTTTTATTCTATTACCATGGAACAGACAAAAAAGGGGGAAGAGTTTCAAAACTTTCAAAGAAGTTCAAATGACTAGCATTAGAATTCAATGAGTAAGTAAAGTTCATAGAGGGGAATATAATAAAAAAATGGAAATTAACTACCAAAAACATGCAAAATAGACAATTCTTGAACAGCAATTGAATAGAGAATACAAAGTAAGGATTTTATTGCTAATGAATGAAGATGAAATTCCTCACTCAAGCACTTCTGATCTTTATAAGATTGTGAATTGTGGCTGAACTGTATGACTTGTAATCTAAATTACATTTGTCTATTTTGCTATTTCCTCTGAAGAACGTTATGCTGGTTGTTGTGTAAGCCATAGAATTCCTAGCCCACTATAGCTTGGAAAAATATCTGATGCTCAGGGTTTGGAATAATCCAAGTATTGTTCCCTCAATTCTAACTTCACAGAATTTAGGACTACACAGATAATTAAAGGCATACATGAAGGAGCCTACAGTATCCCAGATCCTGAATTTCCTTCCACTCTTTTCCATTCTGTATTTGCAGAACACATATAGGACTACCTCCTTAAAGCTTCTGAACCTGTCCATAAATCAGGTATTATTTATTAGGTATCTGCAAAAACCTGTCGTCCCAGAAAACCTCAGAACATTCCATTATTCTTCCAAATCACACTAATCAACTAATCTAGAGATGGTCCAGTAATTTTGCAAAAATCCAAATTAATTCAGATTAATATGATCCATAGAAAAAAAATAGTAACTCACAGTTCTCCAAAACATTCAATTCCCAAAATGGTATGCCTTCGTTCTGATGTGATCTCCATCAGATATATACATACATGAAGGCACAAGTGTTATGCATGCATGCATTTATCAGGGGGATTGATAGCATTGGTTTCATTGGATTTGGTAACTTTAGGTTCTCCAAGTGGCAAAGCTAAGCACTATAGAGCAGGGGTCCCCAACCCCCAATCTGTGGTCCAGTACTGGGCCTCAAGCCCGTTGGGACTCAAGCTGCTGAAGCGGCAGGTGAGCGCACGAGCACGCAAAGCTCCACTTGTGGAAGCAACAGGCATAAGCCTATCACCATCCCCTTTCCCATCCCTGCCCCCACAGCTGCTGGTCCAGATCGAGATTGGGGACCACTGTTATAGAGGATTTTGAAGTTTGGGGACTTTTTCTCCCTCTACTCCTCCTCTCAGGGTTGGGATGGGGCAACCTTCAATTCAGGTCAGCTTCTACTCAGATACATATGGTTATGCTCAAGGAACATGGTCAATTAAGATGCAATTGCAACACAGGAGAGAACACATGAATGTTTGCTTTTGTCACAGAAAACTTTAAGTATAAAGCCAATTTGAAAAACAAAAATAACAAGTGAAGAGCTAATATGGAAGATTAAGAGGAAAAAAGGATAATACCTCTTAAGGCGAGCTGAGATTTGGAGCCAATCTTACTTACTTCAATGCTAACTCCCACAAGAGGATCAATTTTGTATTTGTCTCTCATTGGCCTTCTACAAGATAATTCTTGAACCCAGAGCTTGAGACAGGATAGGCTACAAGTTCATCTTTCAGGCCACAGTTCTCCCAAAAACTTTTGTAAGAGTAATTATTATCTCATAGTGCAGGAGTCAAATGTAAGATGGGCTACATTTCATTTGAACCAATGATTTCACCCTAGGCTAAATAATATTGACCTTTGCTCTTCGGAGATCTTTTTCACCGCCTAGTTGAGCTTCAATAAGGTGATCACAATGGATAGTTGAGGGAACTGCCACCTTAGGCAACCCACTACTGATGAACTGCAGCATGGCCATCTGGGCGGTGGCATCCTGCATAGCTACACGATCCGGTCGCAGACGCAGATATGTCTTGCCCCTCTTAATATCCTGATTGACAGGGTCATCTAAATGGCCATATACAATCTTTTCTGACAATGTAAGGGGATGGTCCAGTCTGTTGGGAGGAAAAGGAACATATATTTCAACTCATACATGTTAATCATATCACATATTTCAGACAAAAGAGTTTTAATGAGAATCCTAAAAATCCTTCTTGTAACTGTACAGCAATATCTGGCTAAATGATCACCACAGGAGACAAAGGCCACAAATAAACAGTTCTGATACTGATACAGTCTAATGTTATTTGTGAGCCTATTTTTTCATTTCAGCTGCTGTTAATGTTACATACTATTTCTTAGATTCTACTTTGATTCAATGGGAAAATCAACGTCTGTATGTGGTTTATACAGTAAGAAAGCAATAAAGAATGAAAACCTGCACCCAAAGTCAAGCTAGCTGGTTTCAGTGATCTTTCTCTTGAGAAATTATGCATTTTTGCCTGAATCTCATGAGAGAATGCCATAGTGTAGCACAATACTATTTTACAGGGTTTCAGCTACTATTTAAACTTGTTGTAATATTTATTTAGGTATACATACACCTATAGGCATACTTTAAAGCAAAGATTGTCATGAACACCCCACACCCCGACACCCAAGCTGTTCTACATCAGCATAACAATAGCTTATGAACATCACAGGTAACAGTTGTAGTCATCCAAATGGGAAATGGCAGGAGAGGAATGTCAAAATCCTACACTTCACTCCTGCTTGCCTGATCATAAACATGTTATGTCTGTATTGGCTCTTAAAAAAAATTGACTTTCTGATGTCTTAATTTCTGATGAGCAGCCTCTTATTATATGTTAATAAGTATTTTATTAAGAGAAAAAAATCTCTAAAGTACATATAAATGTAAGATGTACTTTTTATTTTCCCTTAGAATTACAAATAATAAACCAGTTAATGCAAATATTCTCATGCCCAGATTTGCTATCAACAGCCAGTTTAAAAAAAATACAAAACAGCTATCCATACAGAAGAAATTTTCAACACTCCCTAATTATCTCTACAAAGTTTTGTCCCAAAGTATCTTCAATTTATTTAGATTATAAGAATACTCAAAATGCCATGATGGATCAAATCAAAGGTTCAGTATTCTGTTTCAATTATGTCAAATATGTATTTATTTAGAGTATTTGTGAACTATACTTCCCAGTGCAACTTACATCTTTTTTTAAAAAAAATAGGCTGTCCTCAGGCTTATAATTGAAAAAGAAATACATATAAATTAAAAAGAGGGGGATAGGACAAGAATAAGAAAAATAAGAAAACTTGGGATACCAGTTCTTAATATTTCACTGAGCTCAGCATTTCTCTTTGCTTTAGCTTGGTGAAATGGCTGCCAGTTAATTGTGAAGGAGAAGCAAAATGTACAGATCTAGATTTGAGGGAAGGTTGCTTATATGTTGCTTTCCTTCTCTCCCCCTTCATCACAGCTAAGAGAAGCCCCAAACTGGGATACAAGTAAAACTCTATTATTAACATTACCCAGTCCTTCACTCAGCCTCTTACTACCATATTATAGAATTCTACTTCTTCTGAATCTTCCATTGTTCAACTTCACTAAATGACTCGGGTTTTATTAACCACTTTCATTCCTGCCTAACTATAAATACTTGTACCATATCTACTTTCGGTTGCATTTTTCCTAAGCAAACATTCCTAAGCAAAATATTGTTTCAGACTTTTCCTGCACCTATTTCCTTTCCTTTCTATAATACTCTTTTGGGCTACAATAAACAGAACAGTATATTATTTTCTAAGCACTGTCACATCATAAAACTTTATGGTGACATTATTACTCTGACAGTTATTTTAGATTGTCTTTCTAACATCCCACAATAGTATTTGCCCTTTTCACAACAACTACTGAATGATCTACTATTTTCACTATCCACAATTCCAGAATCCCTTTCCTGGTCACTTATTACTTCCTAGGCCCGTTCAATAGATACAAAGATCAATGCACTTTATAACTGATTACTCTAAACTGCATTAACCATTTTGTTTTAACTTTCCCTCAAATTTAATTTTATTTATAAGCTTGATATACTAAGCATTCTGAAAGTACTCTAAAATCTTAGCAAGGAAAGAACTTGATTCCAATGCTACAAGGTTTATCCTATACACATGATAATCTTTAATAGCACTTTTCATCAAATTATCTTATAGGATGATAAGGAAATTGGCCTGTACTTCCCTGAATCTTCTATGAAAACAACTGGCATATTTTGATCCTTTGGAATTGAAGTCAAGCAGATAAATTACACAATGACTCCTTCAAAAAAGCACATGCTTCTGTGTAATAACAGCTATATCTTCTTCATTCTTACCTTTTCCGAACAATGTTGATGTTTTTTTCAAGCTGTTCATACTGTATGTATTCATTGGGCTCAAACTGGCTCATGGCCACTTTGGACCGCTGGCATAAGAGGGTGGATACATGGTACCTTCGAACTCCTTTACTTAACAGTTGCTAAACAAAACAGATAAGAAAACAGTTAGCTAATATCATTGACAATTAAATTTATACCTTCTGTATATAAATATATAATTAAATTTTATCAGGATGTTTTTATGAATTAAAAAGGTCTCTGCAGATGACAGAAAGCTGGAAGTACCATTTTTGAACAATGTATTTATAACGTTACTTTTTTATGCTTGTAACACTTCACTAAGATGGTTCACTTTTCCATTCAATATCCAACAATATAATGTCAGCATTTGCTAAAATATCTCATCTGAAACAAAATTCTAACCTAATTATTTAAAGATAGAGCCCATGATAAAATATGAGAGTTATAACTAAGAGAAGGGTATCTAGAATCAGACTCTTGATGTTATCTAATGTCACTCTTGATCTATTTCCCACCAAAAACATTGGAAAATTGGATCTAATTCATGTACTGGATTGGATTTCTACTATTGCTCTGAAGCAATGAATCATAATTACAATTAAATGAACAGTTGAGAGAAATTAGAGCCAATTTGATTTAATGGTGAAGGCACCAGACTAAAACAGGGAGACCATGAGTTTTAGTTCCACCTCAGGTCTGACTGAGCCAGTCATTCACTCCCAATCTCTGAGAGTTGGTATTTTAGATTAACAAAATCAATTTCCATTTTACATTTATAAAGTATAGTTTATCTGTGCACCTATGCTCCAAAGTCACTAGAGAAAGTGAACAAAAGTTAAAAGCAAAACCAAATTCACAAACCAAATAAAGAAAAACTAGTAATTCTTATTATATGCACAGAGATGACTATCTAAAACCAACTAAAAATGACCCTGTACTCATTTTAATACAACTTGCAAAGATTACTTTCCTGTAAGTCGGTTTCTACTAACTATAGCAGATATGGCACATTTAGGAAGCAATATTAATATTTAAATCACCAGATTTCTATTTTTAGTGATGCACAATATACTATTTAATAATAATAATAATTTAGACAACATCTGCCTATCTCAGGTCCTTGGGAAGGACTCAATAGGCAGAAAAAATGCAAAATCCAGTCCAAACATCTGGCTGTGTGATGAACCATATAATAACAATTTGTTAAATGCATATGCTGCCCAACTCCTAACAATTCTAGATGGCTCAAAATTGTTAAAATATTAAAAAAAAACACACAAAAAAACAGATACACAAAAACAGCACGACAGAACAACAACAAGAGCAACATAGAGCACCGGTTTGGTCTAGTGGTTAAGGCACCAGGCTAGAAAATGGGAAACTGAGTTCAGGTCCCACCTTAGCCATTAAAGGAAGCTGAATGACTTTGGGCCAATTACTCTCTCTCAGCCCAACCTACCTCACAGGATTGTTGTTATGCGGAAAATAGGAGGAAGGTGTGTTGGGTATGTTTGCCACCTTGAGGTATTGGTAAAAAATTCTAAGGGCAGGATATAAATAAATAGTACATAAATATACCCACAAGGGGGAGGGAGAAAGGAAGAAAGGAAGTATTATCATATCATTTTTGTAAGTGACAAAAGAACACTGACCCTCTACTGCAACATTAATATAGGATAGCAGCTCTTTTTAGGTTTTTTTTTGGTAACTGTACAACTTGATAAATCTCTTTTTATGCTTAGGAGATAGGAACAAAAAGTCAGTGAAAAGAACTTATTGTTCTGATGCCATTTAATTCAAGTCCAATATGAAAATGCCATTAATATTTTAATCCTCTGTTTATCCATTAGTAGCAAGTGCTGCCAAATTCAGAGGTAATTCAGAGGTATTTATTCCCATATAAAGAGGTATTTATTCTGATATATAAGTACAGGGTTATAGATTTACATAATAAATATTCTGAAACCATGGTTTTCCAAGATGATTAAATAGCATGCCTTAGTGGGAGATTATAAAAAAAAAGTAAGAATTTTGTACAAATTTGTTCCAAATTCTACATATACTCTATATATTGTATACTCGGTTGGTCTGGTGGTTAAGGTATCAGGCTAGAAAATAGGAAACCATGAGTTTTAGTCCTGCCTTAAGCATGAAAGCCAACTGAGTGACATTGGGCCTGTCACACTCTCTCAGCCCAACCCATCTCATAGGGCTATTGTTGGGGGGGGGAGAAGGAGGGAAGAGCATTAGGTATGTTCACCACCTTGAGTTATTTATAAAAATAAAGGCAGGATAAAAACAAACAAACACATAACAGCTAGATGATCATTATCAGTGATGGCCTAATGAAGCTTGCATAAGCAAAATGATGGACTCAATGATTATATGAATTAGACTGCTTGAGAAATTCCTGCTAAAGTATACTCTTATTGCATCTCCTTAGTAGAAAATTTATGCTTGTAGAGTTCCTAAGTATGTTTGAAAAGGCTGTGACTCCATGCATATCAAGTCATACTAATGATCCCTGCTCTAAAATAATGTGCTTTAAAAATGGGAATTTTCTTGCACAAAACAAAGCAATATGCCACACTAACATCTGCACTTTTACTATAAGCACTGCAATTTATTAGGAGTTCAGAACAGAATCATCTGAATAAGGTAGGAGTTGAATCTAGATGGTCTAATTATTTCAGGACTATAATACATGACAGCAAAGCAATATTCAGTATAATGATGTTTGGAATACCTATCACTCTCACAATGACCTAAATTGCCTCAAAAAGCAGGGCAGGATGCCAATCACCTTGCCCTCACCTTGGCTGCAAGGGCAGAGAACTGCCAGGCAACCTTGCAGTGCAAAAAAGAGAGCAAAATCTATTAATGCATATGCCGAGGAGAGAAGTCAGTTTGCTGCCTTGCTACCGAGCAAATATTACTCCATGCGCTCCAGAGAGCTACAAGCAGGAGGAACATGCTGACCTACAGCAAGGAAGGAGAATGCCAAGAACCAACAACAGAACAGGTAGGCCCACTTCGGCTGCCCTCCTCGCCATCAGTTAGATGGGAGGCGCTCGGTTTTTACCTCGGATCTATTATCAACCCGTTCTACCACCACTTTGCTCACCTGTAACCGACTGACTAGGACATAATACGGCGCCATTTTGTTCACTGACAAAGATGAAGTCGCCTGGCAATAGCGTCACGCACCGACGTTTTGTAAAAACGTATTTATAGGCGGGGCTTTTTTAGGGCCGTCGTCACGTTTTCCTTTCCAAGAACTCAGAGACACTGTCTCCTTGGCCCTGGAAGTTATAATATATGTAGTTCCGGAGGACTGAAAGATCAACAGGAAATAGTTAAAAAAGTTCCGCAATTGTCAATTATCGTACAAAACATAGAGACCTGAAAAAGGTAGAGGAACTCATCTGCCTGGTTGGACAGGGTTAATACATTGGAGTTTTACATTGAAAATTTCCTGTATTTATTTCTGTTTTAGTGGCTGAAGTTGCCTACATAAAATAAAAACATTCAAGCGTCATTTTAAATTCATTCTATTTGCCTTCGATTGCACATGAACGGGTGAAGCGGCTTTATCATGAAAGGACTAAATATGTTAATCTTTAGAAATGTATAGCCAAAGCAAAATTTGCAGATCAGCAGAAAATCTGCTCCGAAAACATAGCAATGCTGGCTTACCAGATTCTAAAGTGAAATTAAATACCTTATCATGTAATGTGGGAGAGATGCTAGGATAAATGAAAACCTAGAATTACTTAATTATACCACTAGGAAAGAAAAGGTAGTTAATCTTGCGGCAAGGTAGTTTTAATTTATACATAGAAATATCTTGCCTTGAGTTCAGTGGAGTGTATTCCCTAATAAGTGTATTCTTAAAGACCCAACTGATTTAAATACAATTTGCAATGCAATCTTTGTTATATTAAGTGCATTAAGTAAAAATACATTGACTGCAATTAATCAAAAGAGTGGTACGTGTGAGAACAGACACTATATAATTAAAAGATGGTAAAGTAAAAGTTATAAAATTGCTAGAAAACTAAAAACGGGAAAAGTTATAAGTTAACTAAGATTAACCTTTAAATAAAATTCAGGGTGATGAGTAAAATTATAAGCTGCAGCAATATCGGTTATACAATTAAATGGAGATTAGAAACAGCAATATAATAGCACATGTTTGCATCTGATCAGCCTGATTATTCTAGTTGAAAGTGAATAGAGATTTTTTTTAAAGTGATTGTGCAGAATTTGGCAACAGTTTGTGTTATGACGTTAAAGTCATAAAAGTATGTAATATAATCTGGAATGGCACAATTTTTTTGTGAATGCGTCTGTAAAATGAGCAAAATTTGAAGGGTGCAATTAAGCACGTTAGACGTGGGGTTGCTATCCGATTCCCCCACGCCACCCAAGCGTTTTTACGATTAAATAAAAAGTAATTCACTTACTTCTGTTAAGGTAAACTAGCGTTTAACTGCATACTGGCTCCTAAAACTGAATTACATGTCGATTCTTTGCTCTTTATTCCTTTCAAATATTTAAACACTTTTAAAAATGCTTGTTTAGATGCACAATTACCTGCACTTAATATCTGCATCTTATAATTCATACAAATTTTTAAAAAGCTCTTTCTTTAGACGACCTCTTTTGAGTCTTTTATATGAATCCATCTCCAATACAGGGTAACTATACGACCAATGACCGTAGATATAAGGAGCGGGCTTTTTCGGGTCCTAGAAGAGAGAGATACAATTTAATAATAAGTCAAATTTTTATATTCTCCTTTTTTATCTAAATTGTTAGTTCTATGGTTTTTTAAAGCTTGAAGCAAGAAGGCGTACTTTTCTTTCGCTAAGAGAGGTATAGTCCTCTGATTAATTCGCAGGGCTTCTATCGTCCCAAGGACCTAAAGAGTAGAGGTCACGGGTAAAACGTCGTTAACAACGGCGCGAGACGAGAACCTAAGGGGATGGCTAAACATCATCCAGATTTAATCTTCTGCCGCAAACAGGCTGGAGTAGGTGAGTAGTTGGTTACAGAGAGAGCGGCCCATACTTGAAGATTTTCGTTTAAAAGATGGCGGGACGGAGAAGAGTAATTTATAAACTATGCACGGTAGCCATTCAAGTAGTTTTCAGCTAGCTACTCATTCCCAACCAGCATGCTGGGCATTCTCAGCGTCGTAATTTCTGGTTGGGCAATTCTGCTATGTTTAATGGCATGTGCTATAACTAACAGCTTTTTTGTAAGTCGGGCGGTTGTACAAATGGATTAATCAATAAAAATTATGTTTAATATTAAAACAAAATGGGCGACTTTAGGACAATCTCTCTCTCCCACCTCAGCCAATCTCACAGGGTGGTGGTTGTGGGGAAAATAGGAGGAGGAAGTATTATGTAGGTTCGCTGCCTTGCGATACTTATAAAGTAATAAAGATGGGATGAAAAAACCATCACCCATTTTCAAGATCAGTTGCTCCATCGAGTAAAAGTAAAGTGCCCAAAATGGGCAAACTGAAGAATTTGAGAGTAGTAGGGCTGGGCAAGACTGCAATATAATGATAAAAGACAGTGTCTGAAATTAGAGCATTCCGAAATTGTTCCATTGTAATATGTTAGAATTTTCCTTGAAGTCTTTTGCAATCAAATATCTAGGATTTCTGAGGAATGGAGATGAAAGAGGATGGCAGGCACTGAAATGAACCAAGAGGAGCAGGAAAATGAGTTGAGCCAGAAAAATACTTTGTCTTTTTTACTGGCACTTGGGAAACTTCCTTGTCTGCTTTCCTTTTTCAGAATGGACTGGAAGGTTGATAAGCAATGACTGGGTTGGACATTGGAATAAATAGAGGGTTACCGAGATTATGCCCTTTTATTTGTATTTCATTGTTATATCTTAATAACCTAGGCTAGATGCCCATTCTTTTTAAAACATTTATTCTTTTCCAAAAAGCATATATCAAGAGATTCTCTAACTTCTGACAACTCAATCCAACAAAATTAAAATCTAACCACTGGTTGCAAGAAAGTAGTAAAATCTTTGCCTGTTTTGTGCATCCAGTTAATTATGACTTATTCAATAAACATTTATATAGCATAAAATGTAACCTGGATAAGTTAAGGAATATTCAAACACGAACATTTTTACTTACTATTTTAGATGGATATAGCAAAAAAATATTTTAAAAATTTACTGGCAATAAGATCCTCTAATCTACAGCTGTGAAATCCTGGCTTTTTGTTTGGAAGCTGAGTAATAACAACAACAACAACAACAACAACAACAACAACAACAATAATAATAATAATAAAGTTGGAAGGGACCTTGGAGGTCATCTAGTCCAACCTGCCTGAGCAGGGGTTGGACTAGATGACCTCCAAGGTCCCTTCCAACTTTATTATTATTATTATTATTATTATAACCCCCTGCTCAGGCAGGAAACCCTATACCATTTCAGACAAATGGCTGTCCAGTCTCTTCTTAAAAACTTCCAGTGTTGGAGCATTCACCACTTCTGGAGGCAGGTTGTTCCACTGGTTAATTGTTAAGCTCATGTGTCTATATGTTACTGGCGATGTGTGAAAAGCTGGCATTGTATAGAATCCCTAGAAAATCTAAAGAATGCGTGAATTACTTGTTGCACCAATGAAAGCTAGAATGGCACTTTAGTGGGAGTATTTTATACTTTGCCGGTTCGCCTTTTGGCATTGCATAGAATGCTTAGGAAATGTGTGAAATACAGTACTAAGTGCTTCATACTTCGACATTCCATTTTTAGCATTCTATAGCTTTCCTAGGAATTCTATAAAACACCTAATTTCACACACTGACAGTAACATATACATGTGAGCATTGTGATGGCCTAGTGGTCACTTGTCTCCCACTTGGAAGGTTTGAGAGTTCAATCCTAAGTAGGGGTAGATGTTTCTCTCAGACCACAAACTTAGCAATTGGCATGTATTTATGATGGTTGCAGTGTCCCTGTGTCACAAGATCACCTTTTGTGTCAGCAAAGTCAATAGGGAAGCCAGATTCACTCAACAACCATGTTACTAACTTAACAACTGCAGTGATTCACTTAACAGTAGCAAGAAAGATCATAAGATCGTTAACTGAAATATCATTAACTGTCTTTCTTAACAATGGAAATTTTGGGCTCAGTTGTGAACATAATTCAAGGATTACCTGTATGTCACTGCCAATCCCTAACTTAGTGGAACATAAACCTTCGCTATTGTCCTTAAAAACCATGATTATCTCACTTCACATATGCATGAATATTAGCATAATAAAGGAAATAAATAATATTTAACTTGCTGTTTTGTTTTGAACTCTGAAATCAATATGACTTTCTTATTCTTTGCTATTGCAGCTATTGGGAGACTATGTGAAAAATGTAAGTATACTTATGATATTTGTTGTGAATTCATGCCAGAATCTTTCACTAATTGACTACTAAAATATCAGCATCTTTATTTTGTTAATGTAATGAATTCGTTGGAATAGTTTAAGATAAAATTATTAGTGTTGTTAAAGATTTGAATTTCATTTCCAAAAGCTGTTTGATGCATGCAGAGGTGCAGTTAAAACCTATCTGCAAATTTTGAAAACAGTTCTTGGATCATATGACATCTGCAAGAGGTCCAGTTGTCTGAAGCTCTATTTTCATGTGCAAGAAGAGTCCTATATGTAGATACTCTTTGGAACTAAATTTCATATATGTAGCTGTATTACACTTTGAATAGACTTGCGACATGCCTGACCAGCTCCTCCTTCAACCTAAATTAGGAAACTTTGTTGATTTGGTATTGTGTTTCTAAAAAGCTAGATAATTAAAATATGAGAGTAGCCAAAACATTTTATAGTTTGAAAATAAAATATTAGAAAGAATGAAATATGAAGGGGGAATATGATTCTTCAGATAACTTGTCACCAAATATTGAGGGCTTTAGTAGCTCTTTGAATTGAGCCTGAAAATGGTATAGAAAACAAGATAGTTGACAAGATAGTAACACTAAATGAATATGTCTGCCATTTCCAGTTGATAACTTCCTATTGTAGTTTAAATCAGCTGATGTTTCTGAATTGTTTTTCAAAGATAGGCTGCTGAATAACCATAATATGACCAAAAGATAAAGCATAGCAAATCTGGGTCTACAAATATGAGAAGTAACAAAAAGGTCTACAACTTTTATGAAAGCTATTTTATAGCACCAAATGATAGCTTAGGAATTTTTGGCTGAATTAGCCCACAAGTGTCAGTCTTAATACTGTATACAACATCAAATATATTGCTGGTCCCTTCAGCCAAGCCAGAATATATGCAACATATTTACCTGAAAACAACCATGGAAAGACCCCTCTGCAAAGGAAAATTGGGCCAAAAAAGACATAACATGCACATAATTTCTGTGCCAGGTTCCTTACAGATAAAGAAATAGCAAAGTATTTAATTAGTTAGTTTAAAACATTTATTGTGAAGATTTTTTTAAAATACTGCTAGTGGCATGATATGTGATGTGCAGTTTTCCTTGTCTCTTAAGGTAGGGATAAGTAATATTTCAGTGGCTATAGGAGGATGCATTATCATTTAACATTATTTGGATGGTAGATAAAGGCATCATCATGACACACTGACGGATGGCTCTGCTATTTCCATGGCGGTTTGTTTTTAGGTGTGTTAAACTATTCTCAAAAGTAATATATATGTATTTCAACCATCTTTATTTTTTAGTTGTTGCTGGCAAATATTGATAGTGATATTATGGGTACCAAATGACTTCAAAAAGCGATCTAAGTTCTGCATGCTGTATACAGAATGCTGAATACTTGCCATTATGAAGCAGAAGCAATAGTGCAAGTTAGTATAGACTAGGAAAATATAGTATTTTTTGTCTGTGGATAGAGAAATGTACAGTAGTTGTTATACTTCCTCATGATCAATTGCTTCATGCCATACTAATGTAAACCAATAATTTTATTCCTCCTGGAAACTAGAAATTAAATGCTGGTGGCAAGATTTTGAGCAGAGAAATTATAGTTTTTCCCATCCAATAAAAATGGAACTGAACTGCAAAAAGAAGTCATTTGTTTTTTCTTTCAGTAGGAATAAACTTACATGAATTAGGGCACAGATAATGAATGTGAATCTCTTCATTGGTAGGTATTTCTAAATCTATTTAGGCCCAGTGCTTGTCATTGTCTTATTTATATTTTACTGCATTCATTGATGTGTGTCATCAAGTTCATTTTCAACTTCTAATCACCATATAGATTTTCTCCATGACAATCTGTTCTTAACCTGATGTTTCAGGTCTTCTAACTGCACTCATCACCATTGCAACTGAGTCTCTTCACCTTGCTGTTGGTCACGCTCTTCTTTCCTTTCACGTTTTCCAACATCAGGTCCTTCTCTAGGGAGCTAGGTCTTTGCATAATGTGACCAGAGTAAGATAATTTGAGCCAAGTCGTATTGTGCCTTGAGTGAGAACTCCGGGTTGATTTGTTTCATGATCCATTTGTTTTCTTGGCTATCCACAGTATTCTCAGAAATCTTCAACACCAAAGTTCAAAAGTGTCAGTGCCCCTCCTATCCCACTTCTTCAACATTCAACTTTCACTTCCATAGTGAGTCACTTGGAATTTATTTACATGGCTTGCCCAGTACTGATCTTTATAGTTATAGAGATATTATAGCATGTATATATCTTTTCCAAGAATTTCATGTCTGGTCTACAAAGTACTAGTTGCGGTATGTTTTTTGACTGCTTGTTCCTTACAATTAATTGTTGATTCTAAAAGGCAGAAGCTATCTATCACTTCAATACTTTCACTGCCAATATTTCATTGACTTCTTTTCATTCTGTGAGATTCCACTCCCTACACTGTGTTTCTAAATTGCTTTGTTAGCGTTGCCTAAACGGCACTTGTCTTTTCAGCATTTCTTTTGTGTAAGTGAATAAATGATTTATAAAGTCTTCAGTTTTCCCATCCTAAGAAAAACTGTAAGCTTGTATTGACAAAAGATTATTTTGGATTGATTCATTCTATTTGTTTATGCCCAAACTTGATAGTGCTTTTTAAAAGAAAGAAAAAGGTTAGTTGGTTAAAGAGGGTTTTTCCCCCATACACTACAAAATGGTAGTTTGATTAAAATATGGTGAAAGTCACTCATGTGCCAGTTGCCTTTTGCCACTTCTAACTGCAGTCTGCAAATAATGTAAGGTGATATATTTATATTTTGAATGTTAAAAATCCACTGCAAACATGTAAGGTGTAAGAAAAAGGTTCAGTGACTATCTTTCAAATACATTCCTTATGTAATCAATTGGACTACAGCTTTGTTTTGTTTGAATATTATCTTCTATATATCTCTTATCATAAGTAAAATGTAAACTTTTGTTTTTAGGCGATGGCAAATGTGTTATCTGCGACTCTTATGTACGGCCTTGTACACTGGTACGCATTTGTGATGAGTGCAACTATGGCTCTTACCAAGGACGTTGTGTGATATGTGGGGGTCCTGGAGTCTCTGATGCTTATTACTGCAAGGAATGTACTATTCAAGAAAAAGATGTAAGTTTTTTAGATTTTATTTTTATCCTTTTAAATACATACATACATACATACATACATACATACATACATACATACATACATACATACACACACACACACATATAGTGCATTCAGAAAGTATTCAGACCTCTTTCATATTTGTCAATTTTGTTATGCTTCAGCCTGATTCTTCTTCTTGTGCCATATCCGTTATTGGACGTTGGCGGTCATGTTGGCGATCCTGTTTTTATCAGCAGCCGCACAAAAAAGTGCTGCTGAGTTTTGTCCAAACCAGTCCCTTAGATTTTGAAGCCACGATGTTCTTCTGCCTGGACCTCGTTTGCCTTCAATCTTTCTCTGGAGGATTAAATGGAGTATGACGTATTTTTTAATTGTTTTGATGATTTCCCTTGGCTTTCCCAGGCGGCTTATCACCTCCTCATTTCTGATCTTTCTCAACCCAGCTTATACGTAACAGCCACCTGTAAATCCACATTTCAAATGCTTCTAGTCTCTTCAGGTGGCCTTCTGTCAGAGACCAACTCCCTACTCCATAGAGCAGGATAGAAAAAAATATAGCATCTGACAAGCCTGATTTTCAGTCTTAGGCTTATGTCGTGACTGCAGAAGACCTTTTTCATTTTGAAGAATGTTGTTCGAGCTTTTTCTATCCTTGTCTTTACTTCAACGGTCATGTCCCAGCTTTCATGTAAATTAGAACCGAGGTGCATGATCCTTTCAACTTTTTTCTAGTGGTATTCCTTCTGAATTTATTGGTGGTAAATTAACAGGTTGTTTGCTGACGACCATGATCTTGGTTTTTGAGGTGTATTTTTCAAGCCGTATTTTTCAGATATTTCTGTGACTGTTGATGAGGAGCTGAAGGTCTTCATGCTTACTGGCAAGCAGAACTGTATCGTCAGCATATCTTAAGTTGTTGATCCAAACACCATTTACTTTGATGCCAGCGTTGATGTTCTCCAATGCCTCGTTAAAGATTGACTCAGAGTAGATATTAAACAACAGTGGAGACAGAATACATCCCTGTCTAACACCTCTTCTTATTTCTGCATCAGCTGAGTATTTTTGGCCTAGTCTCACATTTGCTACCTGATGCCAATACAGATTATTTATTATTTGGATGTCTTTGTCATCTAGTCCCCCTTGTTTCAGGATTTCTAATAGTTTGCTGTGTCTTATTTTATCAAAAGCTTTTTCGAAATCAACGAAGCACATGTAAACACTGTGATTGACATCTGTACAACGCTGTACAAGAATCTGAATGCTGAACAGCGCATCTCGTGTACCAAGATTTATTTCTAAAACCAAATTGTTGTGTTACCTAGACGCTCTTCAATTTTGTTGTATATTGTGTGAATTATTCTCAGGAATATTTTCAGGGCATGACTGTATTCTTTTTTTTTCATTAATCTACACTTAATACCACTTAATGACAAAGTGAAAACAGCATTTAGAAATGTCTGTAAATTTATTAAAAAGAAAAAAATATCACATTGGAATGAATATTCAGACCCTTCATTTAGTACTTTGTTGAAGCACCTTTGGCAGCAATTACAGCCTCAAGTCTTTTGGGGTATTACACAACAAGCTTTACACACCTGGATTGAAGGATTTTCTGCCATTCTTCCTTGCAAATCCTCTCAGGCTCAGTCAGGTTGGATGGTGACTGTCGGTGAACAGCCATTTTCAGGTCCCTCCAGAGATGTTCAATAGAGTTCAAGTCAGGGCTCTGGCTGCACCACTCTAGGACATTCACAGAATTGTCCTAAGCCACTCCTGTGTTGTCTTGGCTGTGTGTTTAGGATTGTTGTCATGTTGGAAAGTGAATCTTTGGCCCAATCTGAGGTCCTAAGCACTGTGAAACAGGTTTTCATTAAGGATATCCCTGTACCTTGCTCCATTCACTTTTCCTCAACCCTGACCAGTTTCTCAATCCCTCCTGCTGAAAAACACTCCCACAGCACGATGCTGCCACCATCAAGCTTCATTGTTGGGATGATACTGGGCAGGTGGTGAGCAGTGCCTGGTTTCCTCCAGACATAACGTTTAGAGGCCAAACATTTCAATCTTGGTTTCATCAGATCAGATAAACTTGTTTCTACAGTCTGAGAGTCCTTCAGGTCTTTTTTGCAAACTTCAAGCAATCTTTCATGTGTTTTGCATTGAGGAAAGGCTTCCATCTGCCATAAAGCCCAGATCGGTGGAGGGCTGTAGTGATGGTTGTCCTTCTGGAACTCTGTCCCATCTCCACACAGGATCTCTGGTGCTCTGTCAGAGTGACCATTAGGTTCTTGGTCACCTCTCTTACTAAGGCCCTTTTCCCCCAATTGCTCAGTTTGACTGGGCAACCAGCTCTTGAAAGAATCCTGGTTGTGCCAAACGTCTTTCATTTAAGTATTACGGAGGCCACTGTGCTCTTAGAACCTTCATTGCAGCAGAAATTTTATTGTAACCTTCCCCAGATTGTGCCTTACAATAACCCTGTCTCTAAGCTCTGCAGGCAGTTCCTTTGACCTCATGGTTTTTGCTCTGCTACAGTATGCATTGTCAGCTGTGAGGCCTTCTATAGAGAGGTGTGTGCCTTTCCAAATCATGTCCAATCAATTTACCACAAGTTGATTCCAATCAAGGTATAGAAACATGTCAGCAACACTCAAGAGAAATGGGGGGTACTGGAGCTAAATTTCAAGTGTTGCAAAGGGTCTGAATATTTATGCCAATGTTCAGTTTTTTCTTTTTAATACATTTACAGACATTTCTAAAATTCTGTTTTTACTTTGTCATCATGGGATACTGTGTGTAGATTAATGAGAAAAAAATGAATTTCAACAACTGTAGAATCAGGCTGAAGCATAACAAAATTGACAAAAGTAAAGGGGAACTGAATACTTTCTGAATGTATATATATAGTGTATTCTTAAATTATTGTTGTTCAATAAACTATGTAAACTTTGGGCATTTGAATTTAAATATCTACTTTTTAATATTTTTGTAATATTTTAACTAATATGTGCCTTTTTCATGTTAAGCTACCTAAATGAGAATACTTCTTATTCAGATTTTCTCAAATTAATTTTTGGCCATAATTCTATATCTTAGATTTAGATTTAGATTATAGGAGATTAGAAATAATTGTTTAAAGAAACTTCCAGTATTATAGTATATGATATCATCAAGAAAGTAAAAGAATTGAAATGGATGTCACTGATGGCAGGTGGACCAAGGCAGTCATAGAATGGATCCCACTTGATAAGAAGCATCCCCAAAAGCATCCCCTAAAACAAGATGGCTTGACGACATCAGCAAGGATTGCGGGCCCAATTGGCAAAAGAAAGCTTAGGACCATATTGGTTGAAAACATGCGGAAGAGGCCTTCATCCTGTAATGAGACAGACAATAGCTAAAATGATGATGATGATGAGTTGAATATTAGGGTAACAATTGAATAAATATACAGTAGTTGAAAAGATAATTGGAGAGCCAGTTTGGTTTAGCGATTAAGGCACCAGGCTAAAAACCAGAAGACTCTTGAATTCTGCGAAAGCTAGCTGGGTGACCACTGACAGCCTGTCACTCTTTTTCAGCCCATGATGTCTGGTTCAGGTACCAAACTGGTTAGTCAATTCCTGTCACAACCAATGGATCAGTACTTCGTTGAACAAAAAAAGCAGACCCCGCACTTTTAGGGGAAATGCTAGGAAGGGGAAAAAAAGTTGGAAAGATAAGAAATCTGTAAAAAAAAACCTTTCCCATTTTAGTAGAAGCCTTTCAAAAGTCATTCAGATGAAACAAAGTATTTCATAAGACACAATATTATTCCACAACCATCATGAATGGGATTTTTTAGAAAGTTAGTACATCTGCCATATACTGTGTTTATTTTTATTTTTTTTAAAAAGCTGTACTTTGAATATTATAACCCTCCATTTATACCCTTACTAGATTTTTGCCCCTTTTTGTGGTCTACTCTGCTTGCTTCATTATTTTTATTTGTTTGCTGTTATTTCAGATTTTTCATTCCTGTGTTTCAGGATAGTACTATTCAAATAATGCACTTTTGTGCAATTACAACTGATAGAATTTTATGGAGAAATTGCATTGAAACAAATCCTACCCTTTTGTATTTCTATGCTAGGCTCATCAAGTTTAGTGGGAAATTGCTTTTAAGTAAGTGCTTTGTAAGTGCATTCTGAAATGTAAAGTGCTATCTCTTAATTTGATATTAGGAATAGGATGTCATAATTATCTATAGGGAGTATGTGGGTTACTACGGGACAGAAAATCTCTCACTCTCTCGCACAAACACACAAATATACACTCACAAATATTTCTCTATTTGAATTGTGATATACAGATACTATGATTATTCATTTTGTAATCTATTAGGCTTAGCTTGTTATAACTGTTTGTTTTTTGCACCATTTCAGCGAGATGGCTGTCCCAAGATTGTCAACTTGGGTAGTTCAAAAACAGATCTCTTTTATGAGCGAAAGAAATATGGCTTCAAGAAAAGATGATCCCATCTCCACCATGGAAGTACTTCTAAAAAATTTTGGACTTCATTTTTATAGGAAAGCAATTAAATGTATTTTGTTTCAATTCTAATAATTTGACGGAAAAATATTGCCTACTAAAAATATTGTCATTTTTCACTGAAAACAAATATTGAGTTGAATATTATAATTAGAATCACTAAGTAAGTAAATTGAAATTAAGACTATGGATCTTGATAGACATAGACCTTTTTTTCTGACAGAATTCTTTCACTGTATATTAGGTCAAACCCAAGGTTTTCTCAAGAATTTGACTACCTGTTCTTTCAATGTTATGGTGGATTATGCCCCAATAAAGTTTTATAGTAGTCTTCTAATGGAAACTCTCAGATCTACACTTCTTGATCTTGGGTTGGGTGTGTGTGACTTACTAGTTTGTTAGTTATCAGGGAGATAAATTCAGGCATAAATTGGTAGTAGTAGCTTAACATCCATAGCAACAAAGGGCTATAAACAGTAATCTAGAATTGCTCAGTGACTCAAGCAGCATACAAGCTGAATAAATGAATAAGGTATTTCCCTAACTTGTGTTTCTAACATCAGTACAATATGGTTATACCATAAAGCAATATTTTTTCTAAGAAAGCCTATTTGCCCTTTGAGACATACTCAGATTATTAACTTGCTTACTGTTTGGCAATGGGGAAATAATATAGTACCTGAAATTCCTGATGCAAACCATGAGAAGCGGGATTTAAAAAGTTGTATGTGCATCTTTTTATTGTACAATAGCCGTCCTGTTTACAAAATCATCCACAGATCCAAAATGTCATCTCTGATTATCAGCTACCAAATCACAGCCAAATTTTGCATATGTTGTAGTCCATTTAGAAAAAAGAATATGGTAATTATAGAGACTTTAAACACAAGGTAATAAAACACATATCCACAAATCAGGTTTAGGAAAGGAAATAACCTCACATCCTCCTAATCCTTCTCTCAGGCATTTTTAAGGTTTTTAGAAAGACATAATTTTCAAATGATTTTATTCACTTCCAATGTATTTAATGACTTAAAGCATATAAACTCATAGTGCAGACTTGTTACTCAAATGATGTTTTGGAATAGGACATAACCATGTGATTTGCTTAACAACCACATGATTAGGCTGTAATGTAACAGTGAATCAGTTCACTGTATTTCAGCCTCCCTCAAAACAAAACAAATATTTTAAGGTAACTGTACAGGCAATAGTAAAGACAGTATTAGGGATTGGAGATCATAAATTATTTTAAATAATCTTTTGGTTATAAGCAAATTGCAACCAATTTGGTATTTTTAACAAAATTCTAGGAAAAAGTTTATCATTATAATTGGATATCATTTTATTCGTAGGATTATAAATGGAGGAACGTGTACTCTCCAGGGGTGTATCTTCTTTACAGAGGGTAAATTTTATCATTATCACAATATTCCCTAATGGACTGTTTTATTTCAGTCCAAATGAGTGAATAATTATCAGTAATCTCTGTGATACAACATAAAAGCAAGAATACAACACAAAGTAAGCCAAAGTCATTTCTACCCTATACAACCTGAACCATGATATCTTAAGCCCATTTTTATCTGTTAACTCCCTCTCCTTCCCCTGCCTTCCATTTATATGTTTACCTTCATTCCTTTTTATGGTCACATTAGAATATAATAATTTTGTGGATTAGCTGTGAAATAGATGACTTATTCTAAAAAAAATTGTATTTCTCTTGCATGTATTTTGTGATCATGCAATGAATAGAAATACATAAAAATATTAAACAAGCACCAGTTATCAGACTGTGTGGAAATTTTGGAACTCTCATTCATCACTTTATGCACCCAGAGTACCTTTAGAAATAGCCCTAGTTTCTTTGGGCTTTAAATCAGGCAAATGATAAGATTCTTTTTTTAAAAAGTAGAGGTATTTAGAAACTATTGTCATCTCATCATGAACTAATACCTAAAAATTCTGCAGCAGGCTTAGACAGCTAGAATACAGTGCAATGAGATTAGGTATTAGGTAGTATAAAACATACATTTTCTTTGTAGGGCTTTAGTCATAATTTGAAAGGAAGTACCAAATGGAACCTGTTAAAATATGTGGAAAGAGAAAGAAGTGATCTGTAGAAAACAGTCTTGTCAGGTGTCTGCTATAATTAATGGGTGTTTGCAAAACAACAATTTGCTTTTTCTGCAATTCTCATTCATTGTAATGGGAATATGCAAGATGTATTTTGTATACATTGGGTTCTCTTCTCAATATATGCTTGTACATATAGTGGTTCTATATAAAAGTGTGTACAACTGCCTGAAAATTGCAGTATTTGTCCAAACCAGGATGGAATCATAACTATTAAGCTGGGGCTAGATCATGAGAGCAGACATGAAAAGACCTATTAATAATTATCTGAATCACTTAATCATGTGTCTAATCTTTCTGAATACTGTATATAATGGTTATATGGTTAGCTTAAATTCAGATGCCTTGTCTCACTTGTTTCTGAAATCTTGCCCCACAAAGCATTTCAGAACAACAATTGTCTAATCAATTAAATCTTTCTAACAAGGAAGACATGAAGCACTGAATCACCTGAACTAGATGAACATAAAACCTAATGTACTGATTGGAATAATTTCTTGTCCTAGTGATAACAACTGGTGCTTCTTCTGTTACAATTAGCCATACTTCCATAGGACTACAAATGTCTAAATTGCAAGATCTTCTGCAATTAAAAACATACTTCTGTTATGTTGTATTTTGCATCTCAAAGTGACTTAATGTGCTTCTTGGCACCTTTCATTTGACAGACAGGAAAAAACTCATTTCCTTTGGGTTTAAATGTCAGCTGATGAGAAGAATGATGGATGATGAATGAGTGTTAATTACAGCTAATTATAGACTGACTAATCTTTCCTGGTATTAAAACTACTATGATGGAAGGTTGTTTGTTATTGTTTTCTTTCACATTTTTCTTCTAATTATTCAGTAGATGCCATTAGATGTGATTATTGAATTTCTAGACTGCTTTTATCGGACTTCCATTTTGGGCTGGAATTTTTAAGAAAACAATAGCGAGTCTGTTGCTGGTAAATACTAGTAACTATTAAAATAATAAAGATTTACATCTTTATTAATAATTTCCTATTGTTTCATACTATTTAGAAATGACTATACTGAAATACCTGGAAATTTCAGGACTAATTATATTGGAATTTTATTAGCAGTTTGCTTCCAATAAAAAGGAATTACTGGGTTTATTAATATACAATTGCTTATGAATTTATTATTGTCTGCCTTCCTAATTATCCTTAACTAGTTCTACTGTAAATACAAATATGTATGGGGGATTATTACATAGTGATGAGTTATCTAGCTGGAAAAAAGAAATCTGCATTCTTAAATGATTGATCTGCATTCTTAAATTCCTTGAAATAAGAATCTATGGCTTTTTTCACATGAACAGATGATTAATTTTGGTCTCAAATACTGTGACAGCTGGATTTAAAAAAGGGATTTGGATGTGTCTTTAAAGAATAAGAAATGCTATCTGGTCTCCATTAATTTAGGAGAGTAATTATGGATTGCAATTTTAATTACATTACTTTTCTATGTCTAGAAAAGCAAATATTCTTATGAACAAATTCCCTTTTTAAATCAATTGAACCTCACTATTCATCAAATACAGCTGCTGAGCAAAGAAAAACAAAACAAATTTTACTTTTTTTGCATTTCTGAACTGCCCATCTCCTTCAATGAGGACCTCTTATTTTACTAAAATTGTTTTCTGCCTTTTAGTGACCAGTCATTGTCTTAAATTTTAAAATGTCATTTTAAGACTATAAGACACTCTGCCCTATCTATATGGTTATGATGTTTCAATTCATTTTAATTAACTTGTCCAATATTCAGCAATTTATAGGTATTTCAGTGTTTAACAACAATATGTATATTTAGGATTACAACTTTCAGTTTACTGTATTGTATTGTACAATACTACTGTATTGTTTTTGATTTGGGCTTCAAAGGAAGGATGGTTAAAGATTCAATTCTTAATGCAATCGGACAAAATATTTTTACTGTGTCTATTTTATTCAAGAACAAGGCTAAAATATGAAACTCCCCAAAATCCAAAAGGACAAAAACCTCCACAAAACAATCAAGACATTAAAAAAGAAAATGGCGGATCAAAAAACCTCAAACACATATAAGCATATTATCCTCCTAATTGAATACTGATTAATACATTACTATGACATTGATTCTTGGGAATTGGAGAAAATGTTAAGTGCTTTTGTAGATCTTGGAATTCTCAGTGGAGATTACTTTTCAGTATTTAAGGTTTCAGTTAAAAGTAAATGTTCAAAAATATCTTTTTTCCTAAAAAGAAACCCTAGCTTTGCTTTAAATACCAGATGGGATATCTGGGTCATTTATGCCCATAATTATAACAAATAATACAATATAATTGAAGAATTTTGTCCCTGTTATAATAGCTAGGTTATTCAACTAAACACCCTTAATGTATGAACTATGTTACTATGCCAACAAATAGGATTAACTGAACTGTGAGCTCCATGTTCTTTAGCATTAGAAAATATGTGAATAAGACTTATGAAACCATCTCACAAATGCTCTAATATGAAAATATCTTTGAAGAAAAATATAGACGTCAGTCAGCAAGCTGATAAAACACCGTGTTGCCTTCCTTTTTGAACAGCGGAGCTTCACCTTTTTATCCACTTGCTTTTTGAGAATTCCGAGGCCGCTTTTTAATAAAAACTACACTTCCCATGAACCTCCTTCGAACCGTCCGAATGTTTCTTGCACAGATAGGAAAATCTTTTAGCCACTGGTTAAATCAAGTGGCCAATCTGCAGAACCCTTCATGCCTCTGGCCAATCGGAAGGCTGTTGCTATCATGGTGCTGTTATTTTTAGAACTGCGTGCGCTTCTACGCCTTGCAGGCTGTTCTTCCGAGTTCCCTCCTTGTGTCTTACGTTGACGAGGATGATGCACCGGCGTATTGGTGAGAAAATAGTCCCTAATCATGCGCATTCACAGTTCAGCCAAGGGAAACATACTCTATGAATAGTTAAAATGCCATCTGACAGCCGTGTCTTGTGAGGTTTTGTTTAGGGGATGTGAGTTGATTTGCATATCCTTCAGCATTTGAGAGACGAAAATAAGCAGCAAAATATGTGCGCTGAGGTTAAATATGCGGGCTGCATGATTTAAGCGGAGGAGTAAGAGAGATCGGAGCGCAACCTTTATGCTATGACAATGTATTGTTTTGAACAGGTCCGCGAGCGACAGAAGCGCAAACGACGAAGTTGAGGCATAATCGAAACGAAGACGCTTAATTAACTGCCTTAAAATTAAATCAGTCGAGTGGGAAACGCACACATATTGCGCTTCCTTAAACGCAGCTAGTTTTTGTGGGCAATACGGTTGCCTTCAAAACAAGAAGACTGGGTCAGTCCCGTTCTCAGTGCCATGTGAGACGGCCCTCCAGCCGTAGAGGAGGCAAAAGTTGAACACCCTCCCCACGTATGCACCACCATCAACCCCTCTTTAAGGGAAGGTTCAAAGTCTTGCTTCACCAGGTCTTAATAATATTAAGAAAATTCAGGCCTGCTCAAAATAGGTAGACTTCAGAGATGTGTTACCGTCAAACACTCAGCTAGCAGCCAGTGGTTACTATAATAGTACCCTTGGATTTTGCCTTGTCTGTTCTAGAAATTAACAATGGGCAAGTTTAGGAAGGTCTGTTATGACTGACTTCAGGCAGGAGTAAAACAGACATACTTTTTTTCTCTGATATGTACATATACAGGTATTCGTTTAGTGACAATTCGACAATAATGAAAACAATGACTTATGATCATTTTTCACACTCAATGGTTGCAGCAACCTCATAGTCATATCAAAAGTCAGATGTTGGGCAACAGATGTTCAGATGTTGCAGTGTTCTGGGGTCCTGTAATCACCTTTTGTGACCTCCTGACAAGCAAAGTCAATGGAGAAGCCAGATTCACTCAACAACTGTTTTACTGACTTAACAACTGCACTGATTCTCTTAACAATTGTGGCAAGAAAGATCATAAAATGGGGCAAAGCTCACGTAACTGTCTTGCTTAGCAATGGACATTTTGGGCTCGGTTATGGTTGCAAGTCGAAGATTACCTCTATACATTGTTTGATATGTACATATATATTGTTCAAAGAGGTGTCTTTTTCTGCAGAACTTTCTCAAAAATAGGGTAAAAGTAGGCTTTGCTTATAGGCGTTTGTCATATACAGATACCAAAAACTGAGGAAGGTTTTGGAAAAGTTTGAAATTCTAAACACTGTTGGCTACATTGTAAGAGGAGAGTTATGTGTAGTTTATAGTAACAAAAACTCTGTAGATGTAGGTAATGTTCCTTTAGACAGGTAACTAATAGAAATAGGCAGCGATACCTTAAGGAATACATGAGAAGAATACTGACCATTATGACTGATAAAAGAATATTTGTAGCTCAGGGTTGAAATGAGCTTGGTTGGTTTTTTTTGTAGACGGTTCATTAACCCAACTAGGTAATATCATATGACCCGTATTTCATTGGGTAATGAAGGGTCTGCAAGAAAACAGCCAAACTCACACAGTATCAAGGACCCTTCATTATGACTGAATTAAGCCACTTGCTTCTGCTTGCACAGTTTTATTTTACCGTTTAAAATAATCTTAATATATATTAAAGAAATGGGAGGAAAAATATTTTTGGAAATTAGCATGAGTAAATTACATTTAGGAATAACCTGTTTTAAGAACTTGTTGAATAAATTGCAAAGAGTAATTATATTTGTAATTGCAATTCTAGTATGTACATCATTGTAATCTATCTTGAATATATTTAGCATGGCATCTTTTAGCATTATTGCTTAGATTTCTGAGACATCACTGAAGGATCTAAATATGAATGGATAACAAGAGTAGCTGAAAGAATATATGTTTTGTATTTAAGACTGCAGTTTATTAATGAGGCAGGCTTCTGCAAAGTTTTCATTCAAATGCACTTGTATATTAAGATCAGCCTTCAGAGGATTGTATTTTATATGCAAGGCAATGGGAAGTTACCATAAATCCATTTATAGTATTTGTGTGTCTGATGCAGGGTTGTTTTTGACCAATTCTATCCCATCAAGAGTCAACTATGCTATTCTCACATTTACTAAATTTTAAGTTACCAACTGTCCATTTGTTTCATTACAGAAAAATGGAAAATTTCTGTGATGCTACCGTGTCTTTATTAAAGGTGAATGGTAAAGTCTTAGTCTGCATTTGAGACTCTAACACAATCAGAAGATGGTGGTTACTTCTGATGAAATAATTTAGGTAAAAGGTTGAGACCTCTTACAGGTGGTCCAACTATTCTTAAGTTATTGGTACCGTAATAATGGAATCCAATCTATATTAAACGATTTATTAATACTCTTCTTAATTAATGCCAAAAATGACGCTACTGAATTATAGTACGAAGGGAGGTTAATTCAATTACACATATAGTACAAGAAAATTGCTGTAACGATAGATCGACTTACAAACATTCGCAACAAGAGCGAAGCGCACGGCCCGGCACATCGCGAGTTAAGTAGAAACCGACGTTGGGGAAGTAGTTCCGGTTCGCCCGCCCTCTCCTCCCCTTCCTTGTCCTTTGCAAGACGCATCACCATGGGTGTGGAGGAGAATATCCTTGCGCAGGGTTGCTAAGGGTGAAACTTTTCATTTACTTTGCTCACTTTGGGCCAGGGAGAGGGTGGCTTCGGGCTTCCCGCGGAGGGAGGAAAGTAAGGAAGAAGGGGGCTCCCCAATCAATATCCTCTCACCCCACTTCTAATTTGGCCTATAGAGGGGGGAGAAGTTATCGAGAAATAGCATCCGTACAATTTAAAAATACATATCGAATATACTACATCAGCGCTTTGTGAAAAAGAAAACTCCCTAAAAATATCTGGAAAGAAAAAGAAGCCACCAAGCCACCTTTCCCGGTGCTGGAAAAAAAAAAAAAAGGAAAAAGGAAAAAAGTAAGTAAATGCTTATGGCTAGACAGGGACAGGGTGGGCATAATGGAAGTGTTCCCTATAGTTCTACTATTTCCATTTCTGTTTGAAGAATGCCTTTTGGATCAAGTTGGCCGTCTCCCTTTCCTATTCGAGCTTGCTTTTCTCCGCTGCTCCTTTAAAGGACGATTTCATCGGAGCCTCTTCCAGAAGCCGCCGCTCTTCCAAGTCGGGTTCTGAGAAGTCATATCGGGGGTTCCTTCTCCGCCCGACCCCCCTCCCCTCCCCCGTTCCCTACGGGAGAAGGGCTCTGCCTTTACAAGGAAACCTTTCCTTCTAGTAATATTGTTTCCCTTAGAACCAGCAACATTGCTGATCGTATTAGTTTGAAGGACGAAGTCTGAAAGCCGTTTGGCTTGAACGATTGAAAATTACTCCAGTTCACCATTTTGTCTTCGTTCATTTTATTGGAATCGTGATCCGACTATTAAAAGAAAGCCTTATAAAACGGATTTTGGTTTAAAGAAAATACTGCGGACGAGCCTGTATTCTTCGCTTTTTTTTTCTTTTTAAGGATATCAAAATGGTAGTGAGTATCAAATAATGGAGGGGGCAGAGCGAAGAGGATACAAGGGAAAGTCGGGGGGGTCGAGCTAGGGAGTTTATTTCGTTCCATTTAGCTTAATCCGGATCAATGGCCAACGCGGCTTTGTCTGAAAAGCGGTTCCATCCCTTTTGTACTCGAATTTTCTCTCCCCACCGCCTCTTTATGATTTCGTATGTCACAAACACAGACTTAGGGGGGAAAAAAAATAAGATGCGGGTTCCCCACCCTCCACCTCCGTCCGAAGGCTTTTAAAGAGGGGTAATTCTCCCTTCTCAGTGGTTTTTCAAAAAGGCTGAATTGCGAGCCGGAGAGGCTCAGTAATAGCTGTAATCGTCCCCGCAACAATACTTAATGGATATCAAAAACGCACTTTCTGGCTTCCATCGATTCCCCCTGTTCGTGAGGTAAATTGGATTTCAGCGTTTTCTTTTGGGCCACAGACATCCTGCGGCCTAATCAGCGCCTGGGAAGCCGCGCAACCCGAAAGAGAGAGAAGCGGGGATGATGACCCTTTCAGCCCCGAAGGGAGCTAGGGGGGGTAGTCGGTTGAGCAGGCTGGCAAAGAAAACACGAAACGAGCTGGGATGGTCCCGGGTTTCTTCCAGGCAGACGGTAAAGGTCAGGTTTCAATAACCTTCATTCGGGCTCATTCTCTGTTAGACCTTTTTTTTGGGGGGGGGGGCTGGCTCCGGTGGGCTTTGAAGGCCTGTTTATACGATTCCCCTTAACGAGGACGAGAGGGATTAGGGCCACAAGCGTACCTCGACACTTCCATGGGCGACATGGAAGCCTCCGCGAGGGGCCCGGCACAAAATAGCTCTCTTGCTCTGTGGTGGCTTCTCTTCCCCCAAGGACGGCATTGGGAAGATTTACCCTCCGTCCGCGTGTAAAAGCTTGGGGGGGGGGCGGAGGAGCGTCTTAGGAAAAGGGTCCATCCTGGGGCTTACTTTCCAGGTAGGCAAGGATTACGCTGGGTGTCGGGTAGTAGATCCGTTACGGGTCTCCAGCGAAGGAGGAATGAAAGGTTAGGGTCGGGGGGTGGGGGTGGAGTGCCTTGCCAAGTGCCTGAGATCTCCTCAGACGGCCTCCTCCCGCTCTCTACGCTTTTCCCCCCACACGGTAGAGCAAGAGGGCGAGAAGATAATCGGCGATTTTAGCTGAAATGCGAAATGATAAGGGGGGGGGGGGTCGAGCAACAGAGCGCATGCGCCATGGAAAAATTTTTTTCCACCCGGCTTAGCTGAGCAGGCGCTCGTCTGGGCCAAGCTTTGGCGCAAAGCAAATGGAGAAGGGTGAGCTAAAAGACACAAAAGTAGGTCACTTAACTCGGGCGTTCCGTTTTGTAACAGATGCTGAATTCGTGAGGTAGTTAAACGGCTCCGGAGACCACCCGAATTGGGAGGAGGCCAAAGGAGCTGCTCGCAGAGGTAGGGGGCATTAGGGAGAGGCTTCGTCGGCGAATGAATGTCGGCAACTGCGCTTAAGGTAGGGGGGAAGGGTCTGCAGGCAAAGCCGCCCGAGACCTTTCGGGAGAAGGAGGGTCCCTCCGGAGAAAACAGTATCAACTTTGCACGTGTGCGGAGGCTTGGGTCCATATAACCCCTGGGTCCATATAACCCAGGGGTAGTCAACCTTGGCTCTTTTATGACTCGTGGACTTCAACTCCCAGAATTCCTGAGCCAGCTTAGCTGGCTCAGGAATTCTGGGAGTTGAAGTCCACGAGTCATAAAAGAGCCAAGGTTGACTACCCCTGATATTATAACCCTACGGGGGCAACGGATTTCGACAAAAGAAATACTAGGTCGGGCAATTTATGGTTCGGGAACGTTTCTAGGATTCGCCCCTCTGTTCTTTAGTCTTTAAATCAGATACTTTGAGTTTCTGTAAACAGCGGATTGATGTGAGGGGTCGGTTGAACTAATATTAGCACTGTTGTGTTTGGATGTCTTATCTCCTGTAAGTATATGTAACAGGTTATTAATCAGAAATTCAGATTTTTTAATTGGTCAGTATAGCTTTTATTTTTTAAAGTATTTCTGACCATCATCTTAACAACTACTCTAGATAATTAAGGACATTTTTTAAAAAGTTGTCTTAATATTCTATGTTTAAAGTATTTTACTCAATACTCTATGACTAGACAATAATACACTCCTCCCAAAGAAATAACTATAGTTTAACTGTTTGTATGCAAAACTATTGAGTAATAACATGGAGATTGTTATTTCATTTGTTGTCTCATGGATATAATTGCCACATGCAAAATAAATTGCAATTATCTTTTATAGTCTCAAGATAATTGGCTATTCTGAAATAACTTGGATCTTATTATTGAAGCTCTATAGAAAAAAACCCAAAGATTTAATTCTTTTATTAGTCTCTGAAGTCTCACTTGTCTTCAAATTAACAGTCTTAAGGATTAAGGAATTCTAATGAATGCAAATTTACTTTGCTAATAATAAAAGCTATGGCATTATTTTTCAGATACTCTCTTTCAAAATTGCTGTACCAAATTTGGAGGGTACTTTTGTATTTAATATTTTTTATTCTGATTCTATAATTTGAGTATACTAAAATGTATAATATTGTGGGGATCCTTTAAAATATTTCTTGGTACTTTTAGTCTGATGAGAAACCACATTCTATACAAGAAACTCCAAAGCAAAATAAAACATTCTTGAATAGAAACATAATGCCAAGTGACTTGGGCTGATCTGACTTGCTGTCTTTCTGTTACTTGATCTAATTACTATTAATAGATCATTGTGTAGGTCATTATTTCTTATTTCTTGGGTTTCAAGACCATCAGATTGAAAAAGACTGGGCAGTTTACAGTTTTTAAAAGAATATATACTTTTTTAAAAAGACCCATAACATGTCCACATTAGAATAAAATGGACTTTTTTAGATCCAAATGTTGCTGTTCTCATTATATTTATTTGGCAGTAAGCCCTTTTGAATCTTTAGGGCCTATTTATTCAGACGTGAACTCAAGGTGCTTTGCGTCCTGTCCTTGAGAAAGTGGCAAACAGTATTTTCTGAATAATATTTTTCTTTTTGTATGTTACTTTAGGATGACTGACAGGATAAATCTTTAGGCATAAATTATGGTATGCATGTTGTAGATAATAGCCTTGCCTAAAAATAAAAAAAACTTTCACAGTCATAAGTTACTTTCCTAAATGTTCTAGTTTCTCAAAACAATGATTTCACAGGACACAGATTAAAACCATTTTGCATACTTGAGCTGGTGTGTTAGTTGATCTTGCCTCCCAAGTTAAATAGGCATATTCAATTAGCTTTGGTATAGCTTATTATAATCTAGTTGCTCCTGAAGTACAAACTCTAAGGTCTTGGGTTCTGCTATCAGAAATAATTTCATGGCTATCCCCATTCAGTTGGAATTATTTTAGAAGAAGCTTCTGTATTGGTTGCAGTAACAATACAGGTAGTCCTCAACTTACAACTGTCAATTTAGTGACTGTTTGAAGTTACAATGGCACTGAAAAAGTTGACTTATGGCCATTTTTCATACTTACGACTGTTGTAGCATCCAATGGTCACATGATCAAAATTTGCTTGGCAACTGGCATGTCTTTATGATGGTTCCAATGTCCCGGGATCATGTGATCACCATCTGCGACCTTCTGTCAAGCAAAGTCAATGGGAAAGCCAGATTTACTTAACAATCATGTTACTAACTTAATAAGTGCAGTGATTCACTTAACCACTGTGGCAAGAAAGGTCGTAAAATGGGGCAAAATTCACTTAACTGTCTTGCTTAAAAGTGGAAATTTTGGGGTCAATTGTAGTCACAAGTCAAGGACTACCTGTACGCTTGAAGAATAGAATTTTTAAAATCTTGTATATATGCTCCCATTTACATTTTGATGCAAAGCTCTGCTTTATATTTTAAGAGATTTGCTAGGTTAAAACAAAGACCTGTTTTTTCTAATATCTTAATTTCCCACAATGACTTAACTAGATACCTATGGAAAGTCCACAAACAGGACATGAGGGCGGCCCTCTTCTCATTGGTTCACAGCAGCTGATAATCAGAGGTATGCTTCATGTTAACCTGGAGATAGCAAATAACCTTCTCAATTTAATAGCCATTTATCATTTTATATTCCCTTTGACAATCTCTAGGTTTTAAACCTTGTAATTGTTGGAAGAGGAGGATATATTGCCAATCTTTCTATTTCTTTCCAACAAATGTACAGTTCCCATACATACCTGCTCCATAAATACCAGAAGGTCAAGATGAAAGGAATGACACTGGAGCATGCATCCTTATCTATTTTTCACAAATTGAACTGACATTTGAAGGGTGCTGTCTCAGATTACTATTTTGTGGGAAATTCCATAGTTTAATTACTGTAAGAGATGATGGTTTATTAAATACATCACCTTATGTCCTTTTGCCACACAATATGCTTTCAAGTATTGGTACACAAATGCACTTGCAATTAGAAATGGCAGGTATGCTGGCACAGATGTCTAAGAATGAGGTTGTGACTGAAAAAAGATTATAACGTAATTTTTCTTCCTATTCCTCAATTGAATGCTGTTCTAGTCCCAGATTTCCAGTGGGCTCCTAGCTTCTGAATATCAAATAGTATATCAGAAAAAATACTTGCCATAAACCACCATATTTTGTAGGGCATTACTGAAATTCAACTCTAGTATTCATTTTTTGAATATTTTACGGATCCAAAGCAGGCTATTGACTAAGATGCCAATTAAAAACTAGATCTGTTACATTGCAGGTAAATTGGTGATACATACAACCCTCAATTTAAATAATCTTACAGACCTTTTCTAGGCACTTAAGAATATAATTGGGTAGAGTAAAACAATGTCGATTGAAGTATTATTGAGAGACACAGCAAATCATTTGGTTGTGTAACCCCCCCTATAAAGGAGAAGTTTGGTTTAAAGATTTTTTTTAAACTGGTCTGCATGCCACACAGGAACCATTAAAAACATTAGATACTTGCATCTTTAAAAATGACAGTTTAATTGAACATTCCTGGGGCCAGAAGATACTTGTTAATTCCTCTCCAATATTTTTTGTTCATATGAAATGATGCTAAGGAATGAAAGTTTCAAATATTTAATTGTTTGTTATTAGAACAACAGGGATGGAAGTCATCACTATTTGTTTCTCACTTTATCTCCTTAAATGTATTGAACTGCTATATCTAATAGTTTAAAATGAAATTTAAATGTAACTTTGACTGTTACATTTAGTATCAGAAATTCAGGAGGCAGGTCTATCAACATATCATAAATTGGGTGGTTGTGGTAAATGTGCTTATTTATATCATTTGTATCTGTACAGAACAGACTGTTCCAATCTTAAATACCGTGAGTGTCTGAAGATACCAAATATCTAGATAGATAGATCAGAGTAGAGTCATTGGGTGTCATGTGACATACAAGTTTAACGTTTTATTGTTATTATAATATAAAACTTAAATGTTTCCACACTATTTTGAAGAAAAGGAAATTGGGTAAAAACTTACAAAATGAAATTAAGCAATTCAGCATTTATATTTCTTATTTCTTAACTGCTCATCTCAAGAGGGGCTCTGGGCAGTGTACAGTGTAATAAATGCAGATCAAATATAGCATGTATATAGGCTAAGATACATATTTATTGGAAGCATTAGTTGTGAAAAGGATCTTGATATTATACTCAAATCCAGATTGAGTTATTTATTGAGAAGATTTATATGGCTGCCCACTCACTCTCAGTGACTCTGGGCGGCTTACAAATAATAGTGATTACATGACTAGAGCTATAGTTTTCAAATCATGAGAAACAGCATTTCCAATTCTTTTCTGTGCAAATCAACTCTTCCCTGGAAGACTTGCATATATTTCTTGGAACTGCATTTTAAGAAGTATAAAGATAAACTGGAATGTATTCAAATGAGGTAAAACAATGCAATTAATGTTGTGGAAAACAAGTCATCAAAAATATGACGGATGCTTAGCCAGTGGATCGTAGATTTGAACTAGATCACTTTAAAGGCTCTTTTCAGTATAGTAATGTTATATATTCACACATGCATATATAAATATATAGATTTGCATGTACATAATGTGTAGGCACTCTAAAACTGTACTCAGTATGCTGTGCTATGTTAAATTTCTATTGGAGGACATGGCAATATTGTATATTATAATCAACACATTTTCTTTTACAGATGCCCTGGTTTTCAAAATCTCAAATAAATAACACTTGGCACATGAGAAAATGTGACTTGAATTTTTTTATTAACTTAACTTTGGAGACAGCCCAATAGAAAAAAGAAATTGTAGTGCCAGTTTATACACTCAAGACAGTAGTACGTACTTTCTGTTTTCCAAATCACTTTATGTCCCAGATCAAAAAATCTGTAAAATTTATTTGACAAATCTGTACATTTGATTGAAAAATAAACAGTGGAATTAGTTAGTATTTTAAAATCCCATGTAGGACTACAATCGCTCTGAAATTACGTACTATTTAATATGTAGCAATTGCTTTAGCTAATTTTTGAACTGTTTTAAAACAGAATTATTGCTCTGCCATAATATTAAATATACCATATTTATTTCTTTTCTTCCTTTTCTCTTTTTCCAGGATTGTTTGGAGCCAAAATCCATTTATGGTTGTATCCTTTGTCTATTTTTAATATACTGCCCTAATTTGCTTGCTGTAAAGGGAGTATGCATCTAGAGATCAAAGTTGCTCTGAACTTCATCATCTCATATCTGTACAACAAGCTTCCACGGAGGCGAGCTGACTTGTTTGGTGAAGAGCTAGAGAGGCTGCTAAAAAAGAAATATGAAGGTCACTGGTATCCAGAGAAACCTCTGAAAGGTTCTGGCTACCGTTGTGTTCACATTGGAGAAACTGTGGACCCCGTAGTAGAAATGGCAGCCAAGAGGAGTGGACTTGCTGTAGAGGATGTACGAGCCAATGTTCCCGAAGAACTCAGTGTTTGGGTTGATCCCTTTGAGGTCTCTTACCAAATTGGTGAGAAAGGGTCAGTCAAGGTCCTCTATCTGGATGACAGTGAGGGCTGCAGTGCAGTTGAGTTGGACAAGGAGATCAAGAGCAGTTTCAATCCTGATGCACAGGTGTTTGTACCTATTGGAAGCCAGGACAATTCCTTGTCTAATTCTCCATCTCCATCTTTTGGTCAGTCACCTAGCCCTACATTCATCCCACGATCTGCTCAGCCAATTACTTTTACCACTGCTACATTTGCTGCCACAAAGTTTGGCTCAACTAAGATGAAGAAAGGTGGAGGAGCTGGAGCAAGCACCAATGGTACAGGGGTTCCACAGCAGCCACAACGTTCGGTCCGTTCACCCACCAATAGTCTGCTGAAGCACAAAGGCCTTTCCCTGTCTATGCATTCTCTGAACTTCATCGGGGGCAGCCCAGCCCCTCAGTCTCAACTCTCCCCCAATGCCAAGGAGTTTGTTTACAATGGTGGATCACCAGGAGCCAGCAGCCTCTTCTTTGATAGTGTAGCCACTGAAAACCAGGCTGGTAGCATTCCTCCTCCATCACAGTTCAGTGCCAGTAATGGCAGCAGCTTTGACATGGCTCAGGTTTTTGGTGGAAGCACCAACAGCCTTTTTCTGGAGAAGACACCCTTTGTGGAAGGACTCAGCTACAATCTGAATGCCATGCAGTATCCCAGTCAGTCGTTCCAGCCAGTGGTTTTGGCCAACTGACCACCACATGAGTATTCTGGGGAAAACCACTTCCAAAAAAAAAACAAAAAAAAACCTGAGAGAAAAATAATTAAGAAATATTTGAAATCTTATAAATATAACTTCTTGGAAAGAGATGAACCCTAACCTGTTGTGTCATGCCAGGGAGCGCTGCTGAAGCACTGATTCTTTTTAAAACTTATATTCTGTGCTCTTTCCTACCCATTGTTGTATGTTTAATGAAAGAGGCTATCCTTCTTGGCCCAGCAGTGGTTGGAACCAGAGTTACTTTATTTAATCTCCCATGCTGCTCATTGGAACTGGTCCTCAAATATGCTTGCTGTGAGGGTGGCCTTGTTCAGGTGCTGTCATGTTCATCATACCCAGATGTCTTGAATTTTCTTAGTTTTTCAAGTGGCCTAGGGTAGGGATGGGAAATGATTAAATACCTCTGGTCGTGTAACATCTCAAGCACTTCCCGGGGAGATTTGTGATAGACGGTGGGATAAATTAGTTAAATTTCTTAGAACTCTCAGATTTTATAATCCTAGAACAGAAAACAAAGTTTATCTTATGCTAACTGGTGATGACAGGGTCTTGCAGTGAAAATATTGTTTCCCTGGAAATTCCTCTATCTAGAGGATAATGTAACATCTGGGACAGTATTTTGCCTCAGGCTTCCTACGAGCCTCTTTTCTTCTCTAGTCTTCTTAAAAGCTAGACTGTGGTGGATTTTAGGGAAGCTCAGTCCCGTTTGCTAATAATATGACAAATAAATAGAACTCTATATGAAAATTCTTCTGACCTGTGAAAAAAAATTATCCTTGTATATTGCACTCATTCAAGAGTAAGTGTGAATGTTGGTTTTCTGGTGTTTTGTGCCTGAGCAACATCTGTTGATGTTTCTCTGGATTAATCAGTTGGAAATTTTGCCAGGTTCCGTGCTCTTCTGATTAATAGCTGACCATTTGGTTACTAGTTCTCATGGAAAAGATGGTTCTCCTACTTTCAAATATTATAAGCACTACTTTTGACAGGGATGAAGGAGTTAGTGTGTAGGCTACTCTCTGAATGGATGGTAAGAGGGTTTGCACTTTGAATTTCACATTTCCTAGGACTTTTGACCAAAAATATTACATTTTTTCATCGGAAAGGAATCGGGTGTTCTTGCATACCTGTTCCGGCTTAAAGTTGTTCCATCTCAAGGCTCTGCATCAGGGATGAAGTGGGCTTGCCATAGAATATCCAAGTGATTTGAATGTGGAGAAAGTGTTCACTGATAGAAATATAGAGTCTGCCCTTTCCTTATTATTGTTGGAGAGCTAGGAATCCCAATTGTATTGTGTTTCTCCTTTCAGCTGGAGAGGATTCCAGAAAGAAATAGACAATAGTGGCCTTCTAATGTTCAGTTTTTTTGCAAACCAATTGACAGAATTTGCCTTAGATAGGAAACCTTCCCCATCTATGCCTTATGGAATGATTATGAGTCCCAGAATTTACTTAACTATGGTAATAAGTAAGCAATCTTTTTAAGTAGTTAACTGAGGGAGCAGTGAAGTTAGGAAGAGGAAACTGATTGTGTATCCTAGTTAGACAGCTTTACATCCTCTCTGCTCTCTTCTACAGCTCAGTTTGGGTTGTATTAAATTTTGCTTCTACAACTTCTCTGGCAAAGTCTTGTCAAATAGATAAGCTAAAATATATGTTCTTCTACAGCTTGACCTTTTAAGTTCCCCCTCCCCACTCCTTCAACCTAAATTAAGGATTCCTTGCTAGAATACATATGAGCCTTAACTTCCAGTTGCACCTATCCTCCAGAGAAGGGTAACTATTTTTAATGTGTTAAATATCATGGGTTTAGTTATGGGAAATGTTTCCTGCCTAGGCATATTGTGGGATTGATCTGTAAGATATTTTAACATGCCCCTAAAGTGAGTCCTTTCTTTGCTTCCTCCCTTTTCGTGGGACAAGGAAAGAGGACACTAAAAGTATATTGAACACTCTGCCTGTTTTTTCATGCACTCAGTGGATAAAGAGGGAAAGTGCACAGTAATGGTGAAACTGCACAGGGCTGAAACTTAAAACCTGAACAAGACTATTACAAATTGTTCAGCTTTATGCTTGTTCATGCTTTCCCCTAAAAGTACCACTGCCACCCACTTGCCCCTGTGGAGTGTATTGTAATGTAGACTGCCTAGTTATTACACTGGACTTGAACCACATCTTCCTCCCTGGTAGAGACTACCCACCTAGCATAATCTCCTCTGTTTATTCCTGTAGCAGAGAAAGATGCCACAAACCTGCTTTTAGGGATTATATGCATACCCTGCTAAGGTTTAGAATAATAGGGAGGAAGTCTCACTTAGCACCTGCAATTTGTGATGTTTGACACTGCAATGTTTGACACTGCTTTATTATACTCGCTTTTGGAAAAGAAGTCTACATGCACAAGGAAGAAAGGGGGAGAGGGACCAACCTCTATTTCCTAAAGGAACACACAACTGTGCTTCAGAAGCATTTCCAGTGCTGACAACAATGAAACTCACGGCCTCTTTTTTGGTCTTCTTGTCTCAAGAGTTGGATGTTTGGCTGCAATTTTATTTTTAAGACCTGCACTAATTTACCTGGTTTCATAGGAAGAAAAAAATAATTTTTTTTAACTTTTATTTTTATGGGTTTGTGTTAATTTTTTGTTGTCTGTTTATATTGAATAATTTGCTACATTTGTAAAATGTAAGAGGTATATATAATATATGTATATTTCTAACGTACAAAATGAAACTTTTCTTTTCGAAATTTTTTCTTAAGAGGAGAGAAAAATATTTTTTCAGGAAAATTTTAAAAAAGCAGCAGTGAAAGCTCCTTTTTTCCCTTGCTTCCCTCCTTCCTGACCCTTTTTGAAGAGTGAATCAATAACATGTGATCTAAAGTGGACGGATGAACACAAAGAGGACATAATTATGTATGTTTTTTAATGCAGAGGTCCATGCTGTTCTTGTTCGTCTCTTTGGTTTTCTTGTTTTTGTTTTGTTTTTTTACAGGCAGAGGGCCATTGAGTAGGGATTCAGAGGGGGTGGGGTTCTTTTTTCTTTTTTTTTCTCTAGCAAAGGAGGAATACAATCAGCGTTTTGTATTCAGAATGTTGTGCAATATTTTGGAACAGGACATTGGCATGTCTAAAGATTTAGTTAAAAACAACAAAGGTTGATCAAATCTGTACAGTTTCTATTGTTCCAGATTTTTTTAAGTTTGTATTAAAAGCATGATACATAATAGCTTCTTGTCCTGTTGTTTGTACAAGCTCATAATGTTTAAGGATATAAAACAAGACTTTCTTTTTGGATTTGAAAATAGACATGATTCCACATAGTGCTGTGGTATACGGGAATGTGGGAAGCTGGGGGGGGGTGAGGGGAAACTTGGCTCTTTTTCTGAGATGTTCCCCAGAATAAATGAGGTCTAGTTTTAATATCCCCAAGTTGGACATATTTCTGTTAATTAGGCTAAAATCAATTGGTCTGAAGTGAATCTAATTTATGACAATTCAGAGTTTTGCAATAGCATAATTTAAAAGTCAAATGTTATGTACATAACCTATATTTGTCTCAAATATGTCTTTTTTAACAGAGCAACTTTTTGTTTATATACAATTACTTTCCACCGAGTTCATCAGAGTAAAAATTCACATCTCTGTGTTTTCATGTGAGACAGTCATCTTTTATAAAGAGTTGATTATGTTGTTGAAACCTTTGCTCTTTGAACTAGATTTTCTTTTTTCTTTTTTAATTTCTCGACATAAAATTGTGATATTTTTACTTGCCAAACTTATACAGTTATGAGAATAGAATGAAAACCCGAATTCTATGTCTATGTCAGGATGTATAGCTTTTTTTTCTCCTATGGAGGATCACTAGGAGATGAATAATGGGCATGAGTAGAGCCCAAAACACATGGGGATATCTTTCCTGGCTTTAACAAATACTTTTTTTTCTTCTTGACAGTCTTCTCCCATGCAGCAGGTTATTGAAGAGGATAGATTCAGTACTTACTGGTTACATAACACCTTACTGTTCTTACTGAATAGAATAGGTCTTACTAATTGAAATTTGTGTTTTGGCAGAAAAAGTTTATGAAATTGCGCACTGGCCACAGGCTACTATATTGTTTAGAGTCTAGATAACTGTTTTGACCCTAGATGTGAGTTTTGTAGTCTCCAATGTTCAGAAATTGCTTAGAATTTACCAACTTCATTTCTTAGAATTTGGAGGCATGCTAGTCCCTAATAGCAGACTCTTGATGGTCAAGCAATTGACCTAGTGCAGAGATGAAACTGAAATATGAAGCAGGAATAGAATTTTTTATATCAATAAAGAAATACATTATAAATGTATTCAATTAAAGTTTATCCTACTTTTGTTACTTCATTTTATTACTTTTATTATTGAGAGCCAGTTAGGTCTAGAGGTTAAAGTTCCAGACTAAAAACCAGGAGACTGAATTCTAGTCCCACCATAACCATGAAAGCCAGCTGGGTGATTTTGGGCCAGTCATTCACTCTCAGTCTAAACCACAACCTACAAGGTTGTTGTGGGGGGAAATAAGTTTACTATGTATGTTCACCGCCTTGACTTATTTATAAAACAAAAAAAGGAAAATAATTACAAATACTATTCAAATTTTATAGATATGTTTACAGTGTGTGTAAACTGTCCCAAACAAATTATGGCCAGACAACAATAATAGAAGAAAACAAAATTTAACTTTAAAATAAAATTAAAAGGCCCACATTCAAACAGCCAGGGCCAAATACATGATGGAACAATATGTTCATATTGCAAACAAAAGGTAAGAGGGTGCTACGTATGGCCAGGAAAAGCTTGGAGGTAGCTAGAGGAAAGGCCCGTATATGTGGTTCTCAACCTGTGGGTCGGGACCCCATTTGGGGTCGATCAACCATTTCACGGGGGTCGCCAAGCAAGGCTGTCCGCCATTTTTTTTGTTCGCCATTTTTCCCCCCCTTTTCCGGCGGGTGCCTTACCTCCCTTGGGCTGGGCCAGCTGGTGGTTGGCCTGCTCCGTCT